GCAGGGTCTGATGAACAAAGGGGACAGAGGAAAGTAGGGCTGCCTGCCTCTGTTCTCCCCGGTTTGGTCTCCTTCCTGGACTACAAAGCTTAGTTTGTCCACATTTACTACTTTATATGAGGGGAAACTCTGGACCCAAATTTATCCAGCTGATCCCAGCACGGTCTGTCATCAACCTGCATCAGAACAGGCAGAGAGCAGCCAGGTGTCTGTGGAGGAGCACTGCTCCTGTTCCCTGGGAAGGGCTGCCACTCCATGGCCAGCCAGAACAGGCAAGTACGGCAAATGTCTGAGCACTCATCATCATTTTAACCATGGACACTAACATTAGAGAAGCTGGAGCCCTGGACAGTGAAAAAGGAGAAATGTCACAAATTGGCACAGACACATCCCTGAACTACCAAGAGCCGTGTGCTGTCAGTGGGAACAGCAAAGCAAAGGAGTCCAGTAGGATCTAGGAAGACCTATTTTGGAGGAGAAGGAAATGGATCTAAGGGCAGGTGTGCTAAGAGTCTTTTTTTAAGTGATGAAACTCCAGAATGAAATACAGTGCTGTCTAAAAACCCATTATACAAACACTATGCTGATGTTTTGGTAAAATAAAAAAAAAAAATCTATTTCTCTCAAAACTTTAGGGTTATTTTCCAGTTGCTTTCTATTTTAATTCTTTCTGCTTTTTTTTTTTTTTCTCTTCTAGACACCTGCAATGTTAAGACCACTTCCGAGATTTCCAGGTTAAAATATAAATCCAAGCTGAAAACTGTATATTCAACCTTTTTTTTTGCCTCCCTGTTGCAGTACTTTTAGCAAGCCACTCTGCTTCCACAGATTCCCAGCACACAGTTCACAGGCTCTGTCAGAAAAGCACTAGCACCTACTGCTGTATAGCGATGGGGACACTCTGCTTTAAACCATCCTTTGTGCTCCCTGGGTGCTTCGATGCTAGTGGCACTGGGCAGAGGCTGATGTCAAAGAAGCAGCCATATTTGCGTAGCAACAGCAGCTCCCGCAGCTGTAGGAGAGGGAAAACAGAAGGGAAAAGCCCTTGGGCCACGCTGTGCCTTCCTCCGAAGCCCAAAGGCACGCGGCGGCGCTATGTGGACGCCTTGGCCACAGCAGCTACTCTTCCAATCACAAAACCTGACAGGCAGCTGCCCTCTGCTGCTCTGTGGCCTCTGAGCAGAATTTCAAGGATTATCCCAGGAAACCTACCTGAACCAGGGAGAATTTATCCACCCAGGATAGGATAGGAATTCCAGCATACATAGATTTTTGCTCTACTGTGTCAATGTGGTTTGGGCTTTAATCCAGCATAAAACTACCAAAAAAAGAAAATTAAATTAATTTCCCCTGAACAACTCTGTAATCCACAGCTGAATCCCCAGTCTTCTGGCCGTACCAGAGAGTGAACACGGCTGAGGGACAGCGACGACTCCCTCGGACGGGCACTAGTCAGGCCCACCCTCTTCCCGGCACACGGGGCACCAGCCCAGGGAACCGGGCCGAGCCCCGGGCGTGTGCGCGCAGGAGCGCCCGCATCCCGACATCCGCCTCAAGGGAGGCTCAAGAGGTCAGGCCGCCAACTCTTCCCGACATTTCACCGCCGTGCAACCCCAGCGCTCACGCTCCCTGCAGGGCACTGCGGCTGTGCCCCGCTGCGGGCCGAGTTCCGCCCGCCTCGGCAGCAGCGCCCGGCGGGGCCGCTCCCCGCGCGCCCTCCGGCTGGAGTGGGCGGGCCTCCCGCGGCCCCCGCCCCCCAGCGGCGCCGCATCGCGGCGGCCATTTTGTGCGGCTGCGGTCGGTGCGCGGGGCTCGGCGCGGCGGGGAGCGGGAGGTGCAGGGCCCGGCGGGTCTGGGTTCCGGTGGGCGGCTGTTCGTCACCCGGGCCCGGCAGTGGGGAACCCGCGCAGAGCAGGTACATGCCCTGCCAGATTTTCAGCACGGCAAGAGGAGTCTTCCGTTCGTTTTCTGTCCCATTAAATCTAGAGCATTTCTTTATCGCGCTGCATTCTGTCCCTTTAAACCATTTTAAAAGAACAGAAATTAAGATGGATATTTTCACTAACCCCAAAGTTGCCTCATGTCGTACCTGTGTAATGCGTACGGTTGGGAGGCACTATGGTGTTCTTCCTGGCACGTCTGTGTTCAGATATGACTTACTGCCAGCAAAGTGGATTTTTGTACCAGGTGGTAACCTGTAGCCATTCCAGGATTTAGTTAATATAAACAGGTACAGTTTCGGGAAACCATTTTATCTCCTTTACTGACTTAAAAATCTGGGTACCAGAAACGTTTCTGTGGTCCCGGGCTGTTGTTTCTAGCCTAAATACTTAAAAATAAATCAGGAGAGATATCTGAAAGTTGATGAGTCCAAGTTAAGTAAAATAAATGTCACTAGGATACAGAATTTTGTTGTGTTGTATGCAGTAGGGAATTAAACAAAATGTTAAAGCAATAGTAGTGACTTGAAGTAACCTTTTGTAAGTATCTGTACAGGAGTTAGTAATGGAGCATCTCTGTAACTAATGCTTTTGACCTAGGTTCATTTAGTTTTCTGTAGTGAGTAAGGATCCTTTTGCAGAATCAGTTTCTAAAAAAAAAAGGCAAGAAAGAAGGCTTGAGCAAAGATCAGTCATACAATAATTCTCTCCTCTAATTTTTGTGTGACTTCTAAACTTCGGTAGTAATAAAGGAAGGTGACTTAGAGGAGTGCATGTTATTTGAATGCATGCTGAATCAGCTTGTGGAAGAGTTCAGTAGTTTACACTCTTGCTGATAACTTCATGGATGTCTCCTCAATGGAAATAAAATTTTACTTGAGCAGGGTGAGAGTAAAATCTGTGTGCCTGTAATTTTAAGGTCAGGTTGGGAATGGGGCTAGAGTATTAATTGCTCATAACAGTACTGCCTTGACTGAAATGTAATAAGCATGTAATTAATTCTTAACTTTAATTGGCAAAGCTCTCTGTAGCACTTCTTTTTCTCCTGTGGTTCCTGCATGACCTAGGCAATGATATTGACTTAATTCTCCCTCTTGGCCAGGAAAGGAGAGCACAACCCCTAATTTAATAGTAGGGGATGATAAATTTTCTGTAACAGCACATTTTATTTATAACTGCCTCTGCAGAAGATAGGTATTGTCTGCAGCTGTAATTCATCAGGCTGACAGGCTAACTCTAGCTCTCTTACCTGTGTGCCACTGTCCTGTGCACATACGAGCACTTGTATTGTGAGCTGAGCTAAAGAATGTACATGGGACAGGGAAAGGATTTATTGCTCAGCCCTACAAGTGGTTGTTGTCAGTATTTAAACTGTACTCTTGATGGTTGTCTAGTTGTATGGATGCAGTGGGGTTTTTTAAATCTTAAGAAAAAGAACTGTCCTTTGGACTGGTGCATACTGCGAAGTCTTGTGAAATGCTAATGAGTTAATTGTATGTCTATGTAAGTCATCCTTTATTTTTTGCTTCAATTAATTCCTTGTCTTCATACTTCGTACTTCTGTTGCTTGCTTGCCTACAGGTTTATTTTGACTGCTTGTACTTCCTGCAGGAAAATACTTTCTTCAGGTGAAAAATGGTGGCTTGGAACTCTTGGTTTGTCTTTGCTGTTCAAATACCAATAGCTACCTGGCCTGTATATTTCTAAAGACCTTTCAGAACTACTGGCATTCCAGTATTTTTGTGTCTGCAAACATCAGGCTTAAATGATTATGCATGCATGGGTGTATACTGTGTCTGTGGTGACTGGCTGCAGATAATAATGCGTTTTGGAATATAAACACTCCTTTTGGGGGCGTGTTAGTTTGTTGACATGCCTGTGTATCTTTTTACTGGGCTTGAGAACTTTCAACCAGGCTTATTTAAGTGTAGGCAGCTATGGTCTGCCTTATTGTTTCATAAATCTACCTGAAATGGAGTTCTTAGGATTGGTTAAAAGGAAATTGATTAGAAAGGAAAACATGTCTTCAGCTTGGTAGCCGGTATTAATGAAAAGAGAGGAAGCACCGTTGCTTATTGTGCGAGGGTTTTTGTTGTTTTGTGGGCTTGATTGTTTGGTTTGGGTTTTTTAATATGAAGTTACTATCAAAGAGCTTTTCTGATCTTGTTGCTAATGTTAAAATAGTAGTTTCAGAATTGACTAATTTTTGTACTGCTGAAAATCAGCACTTTCCCAAGGAATTGGAGAATATCCTCTTGTTCCACAGAATCATTGAATGAAGAAACTGTTTTCAACAGCTCTGTGCTTCAGATGCAGAGCTGAGCATCCTTAGCCTAGACCTGTGCATCAGTGGCGCAGAGACAGTGTTATTGGTAGGGTTTGAGTTAGAATTTTAGTTAGTTTTAAAAGCATGTGTTGGCACAGCAGGGGTTATTAGTACACCAGGCTGGAATTGCTTCCTTATACTGTAGTTTGCTAATGGTTTTTTTTGCTCCAAGATCCCATGTGTTTGTATCAGTCCTTTCCCTGTGCTGCAGCTGTCTTTTGTTGCTGTTACCAGGCTTGCAGAAATAGGCACTTACAGTTTTTTGTTTTTCCTGCTGTCCTTTCATCTCTAAGCTGGGAGACAAGTCTGCACAAAGCCTTGAAGTGCACCCCTTTCTTTTCTTTTAAAACAAATAGGCAAGTTGCATCCTTCTTACAGGGTGACATATGCACAGATGATCTGTCTGCTTAATGAATTATCCTAAATAAAGACATAATTTTTATCAGTACTTATGGCAGTATAACTTGGAAGATTTTCCTTTATTTGGATGTCTTGAAAATATCCTCTTTATCAACAATTAGGTAGATTAGGTAGATTTGGTTCTCTCAAGGCAGGAAGCAATCAAACAGAATGCCACATCTAGGAGTCAGAACACTGTATACTGACTGGCTGGAAGCAGTGACCTCTGGGATTTTCAGTAGCCAATGTTGCAAGTGCTGGAAATTATCTGTGAAAAACGTTTTTCAGAATTTTTTTAAAATGGATATTTTTACAGGTAGATTTCTTGTAGGAGTCAGAAGTCCCAAGTCCAGTTACTGCTGCAGGTACTGTAACCAGATAATTTTTGTGCTTTGTGATTTGCTCCTTCCATTTTCAGTCATAATGTTTTCGTCTGATAGCTGAAATTCATGTTGATGCTTGATGATAAAATCTTAGGTTCAGCATCCTGCTGTGAGTGTATACTGTGCTGCTGGAACACCCAGAGCAACCTCAGAGCTGGGATATCGCAGCTGATGGGTGCGGTGCTGGGTGGTAATTTGGCCAGGTGACTGGGATCCCTGTCCTGTGATGCAGGCATTGACTGGGAAATCAGGAAGAGGACAATCATTTATCCTCTGGAGGCAACTCCTGTCAAGTGTGAGGGAAAGGTAGTCTCTCAAGGATGGTGTAATGCGTGCAAGGAGGTGGACTGCCATAGAGAAAGGTATCCACTACCCGAGAGAATCAGCTGTGCTGGGGGTAATCTGTAGGGATTCAAATAACGAGCAATGCCCTGTCAATCCAGGTCCAGAGTACATAAATGTTGAATCCCAGGGCTCACTTGGCAAGTTGCTTTAAAGAAGGTACTATGTTTCCCTGAGCTGGGCACACAAGAAAAGTGATGCAATGTTCTCAGGAGGTTAAAAAACCAAATCTAACTGGCAAACTTTAGCAGAGCAGGAATTTGGCAAAATTTAAAACAAAACAGTCAGTCTGAATAAAGCATTTCGTTTAGCAAATTCAACCCATCCAACCATATATTATCCATATTCCAAGAAGGTGAAGTTAGGAATGAAAAAGAGAGAAAACCAAGATACAACTACCATCTTTGATCCAAGTGCAATCTCAGCTATCATAAAACTCCAAGGATGATAGCAAAGTGACCACATGCATCTTAAAGCAGTGGGTTTACCTGCTCTGGCCTCCTGTGGCTATGCTTCCCAGGTGGGACTTCTGGTTGTCTCTGGAGCTAGAGTGAGGCTGCAGGTATGGAGTGTGGGGCATTGCTTTCAGTGTGCCAGGGCCTGGCAGTCATTCTGGGCTGGACTAGAGGTTTCTGGGGTGGGGGTGTGGAATGGAGCAGTGCATCTGCCACTTTCCACAGAACTGCCCCCTCCCCTTCAGTTGATTTAAGCCAGTAATAATTTTCTCTAGTTTTTCACAACAATCCATGTAGCAGAAGTTTGTATGGAGTGCACCGTTGTCATACGCCATGGCGTTGACATTGATGTCAATGAAAGAAGGAGGACAAGAAGTGCTCCAGGTGACTACCTGATTCAGGCAATTTGAGATCATCTTTTTTCCTCCTGACTGAACTGTGGCTGTGAACTGTCCAATGCTCTGGACAGACTTGAAAGACTCAAGCAGATTGGAGAGGAAATGTCCTGTAGTCCTAATTGTACTCATACATACAGTGTATGAGTACAACAGAGAGTGGACACTGAAGTATTTTGGCCTGAACGAAGTCACACCATCATTGCACCATCACTGTGCCAGACATGCTGGAACTTCAGTATGACCCAAAGTCCAGGGCAGCAAAGTGGTGCCACCATTGAGATTGCCAGTGTGTTTTTCTCTATTACTTTAGCAACAGAATGCAGGCCACTGTTAGTGTTTACCTGGAGTGGCATCCAGTACACCTGGAAGCGACTGCCCCAGAGGTGGAAGCGCAGTCCCACCATTTGCCATGGACTGATGTAGGCTGCACTGGAAAAGGGCGAGGTTCCAGAACACTTGCAATACATTGATGACATCATTGTATGGGGACAACACTGCAGAGGAGGTTTTTGAGAAATGGGAGAAAATAATCCAAATCCTCCTGAAGGCTGTTTTTGCCACCATCGAGGACTTGCCCAGAAAATTCAGTTCCTAGAAGTAAAATGGCAGGATGGATGTTATGAGAGTCCGGCAGATGTGGTCATCCAAGTAGTGTGTCCAGAGAGAAAAAAGAAACACAGGCTTTCCTAGGAACTGTGGGTTTTTGCAGGATGCATATTCCATAAGATAGTCAAGATTGTAAGCCCCCTCTGTCATGTGACATGGGAGAGCAACAATTTTAGGTGGGATTCTGAACAAGAACAAAAAGTTTTGGACAACTTCAACACGAGATTGTGCAGCAGCCTTTGGGCTACTCAGGACAGGATAAGATGTGAAAAATGTGCTCTACGTTGCAGCTGGGAAGCGTGGTCCTTCCTGGAGTCTCTGACAAAAGGTACCTGTGGAGACTTGAAGACAACGCTGGGGTTCTGGATTCACTGATAAAGAGGATCTGAGGCCTGTTACACCCCAACTGCAGAAGAGATCTTGACAGGTTACGAAGGGGTTGGTGCTGCCTCAGAAATGATTGACACTGAAGCACAGCGCTTTCTGGCACCCAGACTGACAGTGCTGGACTGGATGTCCAAGGGAAATTCTCTTTACACATCATGCCACTGACTCCATGTGGAATAGGTGAATGGCTCTGACCACACAGTGAGCTTAAACAGGAACTCCTAATCACCCAGGAATCTTGGGAATCATCACAAAGTGATGCCAGGAAGGCAAAAATATCCGTACCATCAGAAGAGGAGGAGGAAAAGGTGCCACCATGCTAAGGAGGCTCCACCATTTAATCAGCTACCAGAAGATTAAAAGTGATGCTCTCTTCACTGCTGCTTCCTGTCATACCATAGGGACAAATTGAAGATGGAAAGCTTCCATATGGAGTCTTACACAGTGAGTTGCAGAAGCTATTGAAGGACAAGGTGGCCCTTGCACAGCTGAAAGCCATCCAGCTGTCTTCAAATATTGCTGAATGAGAGAAATGGCCAATATTCTACCTCCACATTGATTTGGGGATGGTGGCAAATGCTGGGGGGAGGGGGGCTGGATCAATGGAAAAAGACCAGTTGGCAGTGCAGAGGGAAACCCATCTGGGCTGCTGAAGTTGGCTGCCTGGGTAGAGAAATTGACTGTAAAAGTATGTTGTGTAGATGCACACATACCCCAGAGTTGGGCTACTGAAGAGCATTGCAGCAATGAACAGATGGATCAGGCTGCCAAGGTTAAATTGCCTCAGGTGAATTATTTCTGGCTTGATGGGTGGCCTGTGACACCTCATGTCATCTGGAAAGAGATGCAACATTACAGATGGGCTCATGACTGTGGGGTGGACTTAACCATGGACACTATCTCCAGGTTATCTATGACTGTGAAACGTGTACTGCAGAGCCAAGTGGGTAAAGCTCTTGTGGTATGGGGGGCAATGGTCAAAATATAAATATGGGAAGGCCTGGCACATTGGTTACATCACACTTCTGCAGACCCGCCAAAGCAAATGTTACGTGCTGACAGTGGTGGAAGGCACCACTGGATGGTTGGACCTACCCCATGCCTCACAGCGCTGCCCAGAGCACCATCTGGGCCTTGAAAAACAAGTCCTCTGTCAACATGGCACTCCAGAAGAATTGAGTCAGACAAGAGCCTCGTAGACATCTGGGCCAGATACTGTGGGATTGAGTGGGTGTATCATATTCCTTAACATGCACCAGTCTCTGGAAAAATTGAACAGCATAATGGACTCAACCATATTGAAAGCAGTGGGTGAGGAACCATCGGACATTGGCATCTACATGTAGCAAAAGCCACCTGGTTAGTTAACACTTGAGGTTCCACCAGTCAAGCTGGCCCTTCACAATCAAAACCTCCACATTCCGTATAAAGGGATAAGGTCCCCATGAGGGATAGAATATGAGGAATATATTAGGGAAGACAGTTTGGGTTAGTTCTACCTCAGACAAAGGCAGGCATGTCAGGAGATTGTTTTTGCTCAAGAACCTGGGTGCTCTTTGTGGGTAGTGCAGAGGGACAAGGAAACATGATGTGTACCTCAAAGGGATTTGATTTTTGGGTGAGAAGAGTCTGTAATGTAGAATTGTATAGTATTGGTTGGTGAATAGCAATGCCACTGTGTGCCATAACTGCCATTGACAAGGTATACAGACTGCTGCAGATATATCAGTCATAAATTCATGATGCAGTTTGCAACCAGCCCTCTTGCCCTAGAAGACCTCTAGGATAGATTGAATCCACAGTCTTGGACTAAATGAACTCAACAGACACCTTGGAGGGACAGCCATTGATGATGGAAATGATCTCTGTGCTTTTGTAGATATCTATGTCTGTGTGTATGTGTGTAGTTGGAAAGGGGTAGGATTTGAACATGATGTGTGTGGTACAGAATAAAGGATGGGTAATGTCCTAATAGCCAGAAGAGGGTGTGGCTAGAATCTGATGTGGATATGCAGAGGGGTGTCTGTGTGTTTGTAAGGGTCTCTTAAACATCTCTCTAGTTTGGATTACAGCAGCCTTCTGACCTGTACTGAAATTCTGCACCACCTCACATCATTTTATGGGGACGGGGAAAGGGGCCCCTTCTGGGTTAGGGTAGCTTGGGTGTGGTCAGATTGCATCAGGCTCTGCAGTGAGCATTCACATGTGAATTGCTTGCCTCTCTTGTACACTTCTGTTCTTAATACCATGACGTTTACAGTTCATTTTCTTATCTCATTGCGGCTTTCAGTAAACTGTTCTTATCTCAACTAATGATCTTTACCTTTTGTGCCTCTAATTCTCCTCTCAGTGGGAATACTTGATGGAAGAATACTATCCCTAAACCACAACAGGTTCTATGCAGCTTCAGTTGAGGTAGAGACTAGGAGCAATGTCATTAGAGTGCCAAATCTGCAGCCTAAATTGGGCTTCTGGGAACAATTCAAATGGCTGTAGTTGCCACTTCTGCAGTGTGAGGAAGCCTATGTGTATTGACGGGAATTGAATTTGTGGATGAAGAAGCAATTCTGGAGAAACACTTGTAGTTCATTCTTGTATTAGCAAAACACAGCTCCTTCTGCCATGTGGTGAATGTAGATTATCCAGTTGAGGATGTCTTCATTGACAGGAGCAGACTGCTTAGTTAATGCCTAGTTAGTTAATACTGCAGTACCTGTTGCACTAAAGTAGGAGTAATGATAAAGTTACTGGTTACTTTTAGTTGACAACAGATAAATAAATGATGGAGAAATATGATGTGGATATGCAGAGAGAATATCTGTGTGTAAGGGCCTCTTAAGCATCTCTCTAATTTGGAACACAGCAGCCTGCTGACCTGTACTGAAATATTTTCAGATTACATTTTTGTTCTAGAGGTGTTATTCTATTCTGAAGCTACTGTTGACCGTAGAGAGGATATTTGTTTTGAACTCAGAACTGCTTCTAGTCTTAGAACTCACATGTTTTTATTTTTCCTTTCCTGTAGTTACACAGCACTGGTTGGAATGTTTGCAGCAACATAAACAAGTTTCTTGGTGAGTATAAGCATAGATCCTTTTTTTAATTGTGGCTTTTCCTTAAGCTTTTGAAATTTTGCTTTAAAATTCAGGTTTTACTTAAATACTACCCACAGTGCTTCTGCCGGACTTATCTGCGTTGAATTCTTGTATTCTTAAAGGCTGCCATTTTTCTCTTAAACTGAAAATGCAGTCTTATTAAAGTCAGTTTTCATTAATATTACTTTATTTAGGAAAAACCTGATTTATTTTATGGGACTGAAACATTTTTCCAAATTCTTTTGATTTGTTCAGTGCTTAGGTGCTTCTTTTTTATCTTTAGTGTTTACAGGAAAAGAGAGGGGAAACCAGAACATGGGATATGATCAAATAACTGAAAATAACTGTTTTCAGTAATGACTATTTATTTCTTTTATTGCACTTGGTAATTCAAATAGATTTCATTATAGAAAATTTTTTTTTGTTCTGTTGAATTGCTTATATTTGTAATTTCTGCTTCCATGTTGGTCTATCCCAGTCTCAGCTCCAGTTGAAACTGACTGCACAGTTACATGAGATGTTGCTGAGGGGATGAAAATTATGTTCTCCAGGCCCTGTAATCTCAGGGAGAGAGTGAGGATCTTGTTCAGAGGCTCATTGATGTAACACCTTTTCAGTTTTGTCACCGAATACTTTGGGAAGGTCTTGGTTCTGCCTGAGGAGAAGAGCAAATGTAGATTTTTACTACAGTTCTCTTAACTACAGTTTACTGCAGTTCTGTTAACTCAGTTCTCTTAATCTACTTGTATAAACTAGAGAAAAAGTAGGAGACTGAAATCAAGTACTCAAGTCTTACGGTTTTAGGGAATGTCAGTGGTGAGTAGTAAGCTGTTCAGCATTCTTGTTACGCAGATGTTAAGTATCAGTTCAGGATCCAGTATCTGTGTTGTGTGGCTCAGAGTTCACCTGTGTAGTTGTTAATTGAATCTGGGAAGCTTTTAAACCAAGAAAGTGCTGGTGAATATGTAGTTGAGGATGCTACATCGTGCAAACAAGAACTGCATATAGTCCAGTGTCTTGTTTGAAATGTGTCTTTTGGATAGAAGAAGGGGGGTGATGCAGTATTCCTTGAAATTTGTTGTGGTGTCAGGTCTTCCTGTCTAGTTTAAATCTTTCTTGTTCCTGTTACTTTAAAAAAATCCCAAACACAAAAACATGCCTTAAGACCTAAGCATTGTGGTTTGAAATACTGAAGGACATAATCTGAAACTTATGGTCACATCTGAAAACAGTAACCTACCTGTGAAATGATACACAAAACCAACATGAGGCAGGAGCAGACATGTTTGGATGAGCAGAGGCTGTTCTTGGGTTAACATGTTTAGCAAGTATAGGAGTTTTACGTCTGTTTTTATGTGTAGGGCAAAACACAGTAAGGCATACTTCATGGTAGTACTGCTGCTTTAGGTAAAACCTGCCAGGCAGAGGGTGTTTTGTCTGCAGGCAATAAAAGTCAATTGTAATGATCTTCCTAGTGCCAATGCAGTTTTTAAGTGCTGCTTGTGAGCCTCAACGTAGTCTTCATAAGATGCCATTAGGATTATATAGTATAGATGGTGTCTGTAAATACTGTTTTGCAGTCTGATATCATACCTTTTCTCATCTGCAGGTGTGTGATTTCAGCACAGCATGGCTGTGGTCATCCACTTGCAAGTTGTTCCGATTGCGGTGGGGACCATGGACTTCTCTGGACTGACCATTCCCGATGGGGGTGTGCATATTGTAGGGGATGAACTGGGTGAGGCTTTCATCATTTTTGCCACTGATGGAGACGTGAGGCTGGTGTCATGGGTACAGATGATAAAAGTAAAAGGTCAAAACTAATTACATTGAAGAGTGAGAAAAACCTGATGTACAAAATATGAATGGACTTAGTCCTTGGCAGTTCCATACGTAGATGTGCAAGCAGATTTGGAGCAGTGGTGCTGGAGAGGATAGCAGAGTCAGTCTTAGCATTAGGTTTTGTGGAATCATCTGTAAACATGCTTTGTCCTAGAAGGAAACAAAACAAGCTGGTGTTGCTTGTGTAGGAGTGGCAGTGCTGCCTGCAGTACCCCAGGTCAGCAACACCTCTGCTGCATCTCCCAGGAATAGAAGACAATCTCTGGCTAGTTGCTTTTACTTCCTGGTTTTGCTAGTGCTTTTTATTACCTGTTCTACCCTGTAGTCCTGTGGAATCACCACCAAGGTACTGAGTGCTTCCTAGGAGTTGGGACAGCAAGCTTCCCATCCAGAATAAAATATAAGTTCTGAGTGCAAAGTAGGATTGTATTTATGCCAACTGTCAAAGTTGACTGTGCTCCTTTATCATGTCAGAGAACTGTGGGGTTTTTTTTCATGGTGTTCCTCTTCTTTTCTTTATTGTGTCCTTATGGCAGAGGGAGGGAAATCCTTGGATGCACAGAAGAATTAAGGAAATAGGCTGAATTGTGGAAGTGAGTTGCATTTTTTCTGAACTGCTTATGAAGCAGCACTGAGACAGAATGAAGTTTGAAAGTGGAGCTGATTTCAAGGAAGGGGTTTTGGTGTGACACTTTGTAAAGGAATGGTTTAATAACTCCACAGGGATTTGGAAAATAGTTTTGCCCAGGTAGGTGTGGTTTGGAAAAGGCTGCAGTGGTTTTGCAGTTTCCACAGAGGAAACAGTAGAGGCTGTTACTAGTGAAAGCTTGCCGTAACTGCTTGGGTTTGTTCTGTCTTAGAATATGAAACAGATTTTCACTTGCCAGAGGAGCCCACTTCTGTTGCAACTTGGTGATATCCCAGATTTGGAGCTCTGCACTGACAGAGCCTAAAGCTGGAGAGAGTAAGAACAGCTACAGGTGAAGGTGTACAGGACCTGCACTGTTAGCAGAGCAGAAAGCTTGTTTTAGGAGTCAAAAATTGTGATCCCTGAAGGGATCAATATTAATATATTTTCCTCTGCATTGCCCTGAGATAAATGTACCTTTGTCACTGATATCTGTCTGAATAGTCAAATAGTCTTTAGAAGTTAAATTGCCTTATGATGACTTAGATGGAGAACAAAAGACTGTGTCTTTTAAATAGCATATATTTCCATAATATAGATTTAGAAATGTTTTGGAAGTAGTGACTTATCTAAATCCTGAAGTATTTGGTCCTGAAACAGATCTGATCTTCATAGAGAAGTAAGGAGTTTTGGAGAAAAGCCATTAAGCTTTTGGAGTAGGCCTAGTCTCCTTGTTTTAATCATGGTCTTCAGTACACAGGATAAATGTATTCTCAGCGTTACCAGAGCGGAAATCCTGTTTGTGTGTCGATTTAGGTACCAAGTTAATACAAACTGATTTTCTGGTGAAGAAAATTTTAGGAGAGATGTTCTGGCAAAGTATTCTTATTTCCAAGTTGTAGCTGTCTGATCAGTCTGGGGTTGTTTGTTGACAAGCTGTTTCAATGTAGTTCAAGTTTTTTGAGCAGTCTTTCCTGGAGAGGACGGGGCAGAAACATAAAACCTCAAAGCAGGCAAGCCCCTGTGTTCAGTGCTTGCTTTCTGAGAAATGAAGTTATCAGTATAGTCATGGTCATGCTGGTGAAGCGTATTTTGGCACTGCCTCTTGGCCTAGTTTGTGCAGAGCCATGTCATGGTTCTCAGTAAAAGTTGTGTCTCATGGTTTCAGTCTTGCTCTAAGGCTGGGTATTCGGAGTAAAATGGTTGAGACCCTCTACTGAGTAATTTATGTCATGTCAAATATACATCTGCTTGAGGAAGCTGTTCCTGAAATGGGCTGTAACTGGAAAAGCCAGCCTGCTTTCATGGTCTGAGGAGCAGAACCACAGTGTAAGCCTGTGGTGGGATGTGAGAGAACCCAAAGCAGCCTAAGCTTTGTGACTTGGGAGGGGAGAGAAATGAAGACTTGGGACAAGGGGCCAATGATATGAGATTTTTTGCTCACAAAATTTTTTCTCTCTTTCAACTTTGTGACCTACTGCCTTCTAACAAGCTTAGCTGAGTTAGTGAAGTGCAGTATGCGTGTGCTTTAACTATTGTTGGTGTTAGCTGACTAGCTGTGTTCAGATTTTCATGGAATGCGCTGCCTCTGTACCTCTTGATTAAATGGCTTTGGTTGTTTTCTTCACATTTCCTATTAGTTGTGATACTCATATTTTTAAAATATTTGAATGAAACCATAGTATGACCTTCTGCACCAAAATTAATGTGTTTATGGAAGCCCTGTTGTGTGTGATCCTGTTAGTGAAGTCAGGAGATGTGTATGTTCCTCTCCAGCCCCATGGAGGTGAGCTGAGATGAGTCCCCTCATCCAGATGGCAGCTCTTACTGGGGAGAACCATTGTGGGAAGCTGAAATAATGCACCGAGAGTGCCTCTGTCATGGCTTTGCATGTCCCTCCTTAGTGAAAAGGAAAAATAAGTGTACTAGGGAAAGAATCACCTTGCAGATACAATTTTTTCAAGTGTTAAGCAAGATGTATGTCTGCTCAATGTTTGGAGGCATGAAATTCCATTGCTGGAGTGAGAAAGGGATATTTTAATGATGTAAATCTGCAGAGAAAATAGTGGATATTTGAGATGTTGGTGGATAAACCTCTTAAAATATAGCTTTGGATTGCTGCCTTTTTAGTTTTTTCAAATTCTATGTTCTGATGCAGCATAAACTCTAAAATCCCAACCATCTTAAGTTTTTCTTAATTTCCTTTCCCAGTGAAAAGTTATGGACTCCCACCCCAACCATTAGAAGACTGGGCTGGTTCAGATCCAGTGTGATACTGCGAAAGCTCAGTCTGCTATCAGATATTACTCTAGGAAATGAATTTTTTTCAGTTCCTAGGTGGCTGTAATATTTTGTCTTTTGCTGTGAATCAGACTTACAGGCAATAGTATTTTTTCCCCTACACCCTTGCAGGCTGCTTTAATAGAGGTGAGGATCAGTCTAAAAAACACTGTTAGAGGAAGGCAGCAGATGAGCTTTTGATAGAGAAGTTTGTTTGCAGTGTGGTGGTTGAATGGAGGTGGTTGGGCTGTCCCTGTGGTCAGCCCTTGCCAAATGGCCTGGCCTAAAAAGTGTGGTGAAGGAGTAGCTTTTCCCTATTGTAAAAGCTCTACAATATTCCTGAAAATCTTTGATTTCTGAACCACGCTTGAAATTACAGTAATTCTTCATGATGTTAGTATTTTTGTAGATGCAGCTAAGTTGATACCATTGCTATTTATGCCTTGTGTGAACCAAAATGCTAGTGCTTATATCTGTGCATGTCTCCTTGTTCATGTAGTGTAAGACTAGGTTTTTTATTTTAACTCGAATCAATTTTGTCCATCTGTAATTGAATCTTCAAGGCACAACCTTACTATAAGGACAGTGATATTGAGTGAGACTTACTTGTGGTTTTGGATCTTGTGAGCTTGAAGACTATAAGAATGGATCATAATTTGTATCTTAAAATTGTGAGAAACAACTGACAAAAATCAGGAAAAAGAGCTATTGGCCAGGCTTCTTCACTGTGTGTACCTTGAGAGAAACTACTAGAGCAAGATGTCTTAAACTTTTATATTACCTGTTGGAAACAAATATCAATGAATACTTCTTTTATATTCTCGTTAAAACAGTGGAGAAATTGGATGAACACATGGCAAATATGCAAGGAGTATAGAGAGTCTTCTAAAATTGATTAAAAAAACCTACATATTTCTAATGTCTTTGAACTTTATTGCACTTCTAGTGATGAGGTGACATAGTGTTCCCGAGTGTTTCGCTAATGCGGTAGCTGTTGAAAGATTGTCATTGTGTTTGGTTTGCCCACTTCCTGTTTACTGGACTCCTTGTTCTCATCAAAATGGAGAGGGGGGAGAAAATATTACGAAACTTCCATCTCATTTGTGAATAAACACTGGGTTGCGTGATTCTTAATTGACCTGGAACTTGGACCAATGGACAGAGGATGAGCTTCACTCTTTCATGGTCCAGTAGCTGCCATTTTGAACATACTTTTGGAATCTTTCTGCACACTGTCACTTGGGAAGCCTTGTTTAAAAGATAATTGCCCCCTTACTTTCTGCAAACCAAAATTACAGCGGTTCCTTAACATCTGGCTTCTGGGAATTATAGTTCATAAGCTTATTTTGTGTATGTCTTGATTAGTGATTGATATCTAATTGCATTTTTCAGGGGAATAAAATCAGCAGTGTTGATATTACAAAATGACAAAACATCCTCCGAATAGAAGAGGGATCAACTTTGAGGTGGGAGCCCAGTTGGAAGCCCGTGACAGATTAAAAAACTGGTATATTTTTAAAACCATTCATGTTATATTAAAGTCTTTACTATCTATAACATTTTGTATTGGTTCAATATTTAGAGTCTTATTCATTGGTTTGTAGGAAAGTAGCTAATTTATATAAGTTTATATACCAGTGATTGAGATGGGGAGTAGATGCTGATATGTTGTGCTGGCCCTCCAGAAGTGTACTGGTGTTGTGTCTGGGAATAGGACTGCTCCTGAATCTAGTTAGACTTCAGGCTCTCATTCCCCTGAATTCACCCTTTAAGTTCTGTGCTATATTTAATATTGCAGAGCAGATATTACGGAAGAATAAATTCTTTGTACAGAATATCGTTACTGCTTCCTTTCCCTGTGCTGTTGTGAATTCACAGGCTCTCTGATTGAGTTTGTTAGGCCTGTACTCATATAATGGTGGTCAGCTTTAGTATTAAAGAATTGTGTGGAGAAACATGTTTCATGCTAATAAGTCTGGTCTGGTGCCTGTTTTGCAGCTCTCAGCTGTGAGGAGAAACATTTTTCTTTGCGAACCACTGCATTAGGAAGATGAAAAAGAGCCTATAAATTACTTAGGCTAACTTTGAATTTTCTAACTCTGTACATTTCAGGTAGTCAGCTCACAATGTAGCATTTAATAATTCTCAGTGAATGAGAGATAAAATAAAAATCGTCAAAGACTTCTTAAATACAGGAATTAATTTGGTTTTGTTAGCTCGTGTAGATAAATTCTTTCCAGAAATCATCTGTAGTTGATTTTTATTAAGAAGTTTGTATGGGTTAGATATGATTGTACTTAAAGCTCTGGAACCTGCCAACAGGCGAAGTGTGTGAGGTCAGTATTGAAAAGTATTTGGGCATCTCAGGAAGACGGTGCACTGTCTTAGACACAGGAGATTTATTTCAAAGTGTCTTGGTTGCATGCAGAGCATGTTCTCCCCAGGTACAAGGGCATTGGAATTGTGAAAATGAGAAAACATAGCTCTTTCCATAAAGAACGCAAAATATGAACATTAAATCCTATTCACAGGTTAATTTGGCTTATCTGTGTCTTCAAGAGTTGTGTAGGTAAGCACTGATCTGAACCTGCCTCTATTTTCAATATTCTTGAGTTTTGTTAGTACATCAAAAAAAAATTAAACAAGCTTACAAAAATAAGATCTTGTAGCCTGTCTGTAGTGTAGGCTTTTTAAAGATGCAGTTTGGTGTAGCTGGTGTTTGAGTAAGCCTAATAACTTGTGTCCATGACTCTCATCCTTCTGACGTTTGCTCAACAACAGTGTTTGAGTGTACATAACTCTTGCATGGGAAAACTTGGGGGGAGGGAATTCAACAAACTGCTCTACTTTCTGCATATCCCTTGGCTTAAATTTGAATTTGGGGTGTGCTATTTGTTCCGTGTTCTTTGTTTTTTAGAAAAGCTTGGTCTTAAATTACCTGTTCTACACGCAGTGCTTCGCAACTCTGGTCTCACAGCTTGGTTATGAACTCTCCAGTTCTGAAATCTTTTGTTTACTTGCTAAGCTTCGAACCCTGCATTTGTGTGCATTTGCATTTTCAGGGTTTCTAAATAAAATTTTTTAAGAACTGGGGGCTTAGCAAAACTGTCAGTACTGACACAACTCACTGGGTGTGGATTTGTAGAGGACAGCAGACTGTTTTTTTTTTTCTCTGCTGCTTTCATCTGCCCCTGTGCAACCAGGACCACTCTGTGGTGTGGTTACCATGCACTTCTCTAGGGGCACAGGATTTTCTGTTTGCTGATGCTTGCTTTTCCCAGTGCTAGACGTTTGGAGGTCCAAACTTTTCTTGTGTGTACTTTTGTTGCTGTGTTGGTGCTAAAACGTAGTCACAAGTCTCCTGTTAAGTTGAAGTGCTGGCTTTGATTTCTGCTCTCAGTACCAAATACATCAGTCAATTCATGGGCCACTATGCCAGTCTATTGGCAGTGATGCTTTGGAAAATATTTCATGTCAGAGTGCCATATACCTCTCCTTCATGTCAATGGCTTGTGCTCCAAATTGCTAGTTAAGGACTTACAGGGTGTTTGGATGCGTTGTCAACTCTAGTGAAGAAAAAACACTGTATGCCAGCAGAGTAGTCAGTGTGGAGCCTCCTCCTTGTCAAAGTGCAAAGTGAATTTTGCATCTTTACTGCTTGTCGGAGAGGTTGCTTTGTTGTGTTTGGAATCCTGTCATATTGGCAGTGTGCTGCAGGTCCTGGTGCAGTTGTCTGTCACGTCCTATACTTGAACTCCATGGAGCACAGTGAGTACTTTTGGTGTTTCACTTTAGGTTATTAGGGCTTGGGTTGATGCATCAAAGCTGTCATGAAAGGTTGGTCTGTTGTCCTCAGGTTGCTATAGGGAGAGAGCCTCTGTGGATCCTGAAAGGTCTCATAGTGCTGGAGTTCAGAGGATGAAGGAGAGGGACTGCTGCAGTAGGGCAGCCCTGAGTAGAGGGATCGCAGAGGGGTTGCTGTAGCCATGGACATGGGCGCACTGTCCCAGCTGAAGTGACATTTTGAAACCTTTTGCATTGAATCATTTAAACTGAGTGGTGGCTAGCTGCATCTTTTCTTACTGAAAAGAGGATGACAGCTCTGGATGCCTGCAATAGGCAAATGATGTTTGTTACCTTGTAATGACACATCCCAGTTTTTCTGTCTGTTGTCTGAGTAAAATGGATGTGAAGGGGCTTTTGATGATGGTTAGAGCTCTTGAGTAATATTAAGGGTATGGTGCTACCCTGTTAAGATTCAGATTGTCAGTCCCATGAGTTCAGTTGTTCGTGCTGTCAGGAATTGGTCTCTTAAGTACTAAAAAGATGAACCACTATAACTGTTGTTCTTTACAGTGCTGCTTCTCCTGGGTGCTTCCTTCCCTCTCTGCATTGCTTTGACTGCACTAAGCTTGTCCCTTCCTAGTTCCAAGGGAGTGGGGGTTTATAACAGTTCTGCTTTGGTGCATAGGAAAAGAGAAGGGAAACAGATGTAGTCCAGGGAATTTCCAGATATTTGCCTCTTCCCAGAAGAGGATAGTTTTACATTTGTGTACCATAAACCCATTTTCATACTGTTTGCTGTGCTTAGATAGCTGTAGTCTGAGGTTGCTAGTCATTGCTAACCATAGTCTATTTAGTTCTTGAGGTTTTGATTGCCTCTTAGGTTCTTAGAAAACTAATGCTAGCAGTTTGGCCATCTTAGAGATTTTCTCTTACTGTTTAGCCAGTTCATGAGTCCTTGAAAGGTATGAGTGCATCACTCCTTTCAAATTGAGCTGAAAAACTACTTGTTTTGCCCTTCCTGTATGTTGCAAGATGTCTCCAATTTCACAGTGTTTCAGATAAATATTTAAATCAGTACCATTTGGGATTTTCTTACCCAGGATCTCTTAGCTGTCTTGAATATCCATTGAGTCAGCTGAATACTTCCTTTGTAGTTTGGGGGAGGATGTGTTGAGCCACCCTGGACATATCTTAGTTGTTCTCTGGGGCCTTATCCAAACTTCAGCTATTGGCCTTTCACTTAGTGTATCCTCTCATAGTATTTTTTTTTATAAACAAGTCTGAATTTCTTTTAAGTTACGTCTACCCCTATGTATGTTCACAGGCTATATGGAGGAAGTGTATGGGTAATGTTCTGTTACTCTTCTGTGTAAGTCTGTGAGCACTTATACCTCCTGATGTGGTGTGCTTGCTCAGTTCTACAAAAGGTGTGGGAGGAAGGAAGCTTGGCCTGTCAGTGTGTGGTGCTCAGGGCTGTTGAGAACCTATGAACCTTTCTGTGACCCTTTCTGCTTTGTTTTGTAGCTGCCAGTGCTCTCATCTGAAAGGAAAGTGGTGTCGAGGTGCCAAGGTCTGTCAGAGTTCATGGATAGGTCTAGCACAGCTTGTAATAGGTTTCCTGCTTTCAGTCAAGAGCACTGAGTGTATGTTAACTGATGTTTATTGCTTCAGAAAGAGAAGATGTTGAGGCTTTGCAGCGTGTTCTCCGAGATCTGAAAGCTCTGGCTCAACCACACTTACTCAGGTAGACTCAAATTTGGTCTCATTGTCAGATACGCTTTTCTTGATGATCTTGACTCCCATTAATGAAGTGGGATAGATGCAGATGATACTGATGTATGGTTCTGGTGGAGAAAGTTCCTTCTTTTGCTGGATATGAAGCAGGGAGCAGTCTCGCGTCATTGAGTTAGTTGGCTCTTGTAACTTGGGCTTGTCTCATGTCAATGGTAGAAAGTGAATTGTGCTTCCTAGAGGTGGTTATCTGCTTGGACAGGATTATTAGCTTCATACTGAGTGAGCACTCTGTCCTTTTTATCAGCTTCCCTCTTCATCATTGAAAATCTAAACGAGTCCTAGGCATACTGCAGTCCCAATGGCAAGAGCACCCTTCTGGCTGCTCTCTTGTTGAGAGGATCTGGGATTTTTTTACCTGTTTTTGCTGCTTTCAGATTGTAAGAAATGGCACGCTGATTTTTGTCATTACCTGTACTTAGTGATATCCAAAAATAATCTGTTTAGGTTGTGACTGTGACTACTGCCCCCTCAAGAGCTTGTGGAGGGCAGTGCTTTGAGTTACCTAAGTACAAAGTAACTTGACTGTCACAGGAAGGAAGTTTCTTTTTTTCCCAAGAAGTTGGTAACCAGTTACAGATGTCCCTGCATAAATATCTGCCATTGCAATTCCTCTCCTCTACAGCCTTTGCTGCATGCATTTTGGTAATACATTGGGATGAACTAATGGCATAGCTTGACATGTGTGGCAGTGAGTATTCTTAGTCTGTAGTTGCAGTGTAAGACTCTAGTATGTCCTATTAATAGTTTTTTGTGAAGTCATGACTGGACATGACTCAGATCTGCTGGAGAACTTCAGTTGTAGGTAGATTTGCTTTCTCTTTGTGTAGGTTTGTAGAATGGTAGCCTGGGTTGCATTTGAGTCTTAATTCTTACATGTCTAGGCTTTACTGTTAGTATCATGCTTGATCTTTTTGAGATGCCACTTCTTTCTACCACTTGTTCTGTCTTTCAAGTGTGGTTTGCCAGATAAAGAATACTTGTGGAACTGAGTTTTGTCTTCAGCCCTTTGTTCAAGAATTCACTGAGGCCTTGTCTTTCCAGAATACCGAAAACACCAACAAATGGAAATTTTCTCTTGATGTTCCTATTGTGGAAGGGAAAGCTTTGTACTTGGAATGTTACCTTCATCTGGGATAGTGAAATAGCTGTGATTCTGAAATCTGTACTGAAGTTACAAATTACCAATGCAATTTAAAGAAATACAGAGTTTGCAAGGTCTTCCTGATCAGAAACATTTGAATTTGGCTCATCTCAGATTCCCTTACTACTAATGTACTAAGAAATTTATATCTTAAAGATCCCAAGATTTTGCAAATTAAATTTAACTTTGAGAGTCTAACACTTAAATTACATTTAGTGTGCCTGCTGGATTTTTCCTGTTGCATTGGGTAGATGATTCATGATGCCTGGTGATGGGTATCTTAGAGAAGTGAGTGTATTGGCACCCAAGTGTTACTCTTGATAAGAGTGGACTGAAGCTATTGATTTTGTAAAATGTGATATGTCTAGATGTAGGGAAGGTCTTTCTGACTTCCAAATCTGTAGTTAAATTTTTTTCCACCCTAGACTAAGAATTTGTCTCCTCTTGCTGCAGCCAATGTTTGCATTTGCTGTTCAGTTTTGGGTTTTCTTATGTGCTTTGCTCCCTCATTATGTAGCATCTTTATTGCTTACACGAGTGGTACACCAAATCAATACAATTGTAGGAGCTAAACCAAGGGTAATTTGTATAAAGTGTCTGAGACAGTTTACCTTATTCGTAATTAAAATATTTTAATCTACCTTTGACTAGGTATCCAGCGCACATTGAAGAAATTGATTATGAAGAGGGGAAAGTACTTATCCATTTCAAGCGCTGGAACCATAGATATGATGAATGGTTTTGTTGGGACAGTCCTTATTTGCGTCCCCTAGAGAAAATACAGTTAAGAAAGGAAGGATTGCATGAGGAAGAAGGTTGTGCAGTAAGTAGAAATTTGAGAACATTTGTGTAACAGTTTAACGTGTCTTTGTATGAATGATGACCTTTAAAATTCTTCACTGTTGCTGTGTTACCTGCTTTGTAAATTTTATGATTTCTTCTAAACATTGGAAAGCTAGTAATTGAAATGTTTTAATGAAGTTGTATGTTTCAGTAATTCTCAGATGAAGACACTTCTAACTACTGTTTCATAGGGATTTCGTATCAACGATCGGGTATTGGCGTGCTGGTCTGACTGTCGCTTCTATCCAGCCAAAGTTACTTCTGTTAACAAAGATGGTAAGGATTCCTGGTTTTGTAACACTTAGTAGTTATGTATTTCTAATTGTGCTGGAACCTCATTTAGGTGGAGAGATACTACAGCAGATGGAAATCAGCTGTGGAAAATTGCATTTTCAATTATGTGTTTTAGTCTGTCATTAACTTTTTTAACCTCTTTCCTTTTTTACAAGAAAAAAGCTTTCTGCTGGGATATCCAGTCAGTACTTGCTTTTAAGTATATATGTGGGGAAAGTTGTTTCTTAAATTTGTTGTTATTGCCTATAAACTGCATTAAAACCCATTGTCAGAGCTGCAAAATCCCCTTAAAAATCAGCAGGGGAGGGGGAACTGTGAATGATTTGTTCTAATGTTGGGCTTGCTTTAGATTGTCTTTGTTGTAAGATCAAGGAGAAAAGGACTGTGTAATTACATATTGGAATATTCCACCAAAAATATTTTGGGGTTTTGTGACTAAGGTGCATCTGAGGAGCAGCTCTAAGATTAGACATGCACCTTTCTTTTGACCAGAATTGTTTTGGATAACTTTGCTGCGTCTTCCTGGCCTGTGATAGGAGCTCTGTGTTGAGGGTTCTGACAACACAGGTAAAGAAGCTTTCGTCTAGGGCTAATTGTGCAGCTGGAGTATGGGAGCTGTTAGCTGGTGCTGTGTTAAATATCTTCTGATATTTGAACTCTTACACTTTGTTTTCGTATTTTAGGTACATACACTGTGAAATTTTATGATGGTGTAGTTCAGACAGTCAAAAACATTCATGTCAAAGCTTTTTCCAAAGATCAGGTAAGTATGGTGTTTGTGCAGCTAGCATATTGTTAAATGAGCAGTTCAGATGGCTAAATCTGTTGAATTATAAAATGTGAAATTAATTAAGAACCTTTACTGCTAAAATACAGTATGTATGAAATGAAATCCCTTAAAATGAAAACAGGTGATGGATAGATATCTCAGAAAGGGAAAAAGGACACTTCATTTCCCCTTCATTAAAGGGAATCCCTTAAAATGAAATGTGAATCTTTGTGGTATGATTTGCAGAGCTCTCAGGTTTTTTAGATTCACCTCTTGAACTAAAGAAGTCAAGGTATATAAGTAAAGCAGATTTCTGAAAGTCATTGGAAAATTCAGAATGTACATACTAAACTAGTGGTAAGGTTTTGAATTGTGCTGTGATTGTTTTACCTGTTTGAGATTACTTTAAATATATATATATATTTAAAAATTATATATATATATATTTAAAAATAAAGAAGTGACAACTATGGAGTGGACAGAAACTATTTTTTCCCAAAGTAACTGCTTAATATTCATGAGACACTTAAGGAGCATGGCTATTAATCTTTCACCTCACAACTTTGAGACGACCAGTTTTTTTAAATATTCCTTGTTTCCCTTTTGTGGTTTGGCTGTTTTACCAACCCTTCGCTTGCTCAGCACACGGGTTCAGCCTTCAGCTCATGATGTAAAGTAGTAGTGAGCCATTACATTCAAAAAAATAGAAGCTGTTGTGCTGATGGTGAGGAGGAGGAAGTGCTGCTCTGTACTTTGATTTTCATGTACAGGCATGTAGGAAAGGCTGACCAAGTTCTGGTCTTGAGTAACTTGGTTAAAACTTCTTAAATACCTGCTTCAGAATAATTTTCATTACAGACAGGATTTTAAGTTTGATCTCTTGCCACACATTCCTGTGTGGTAACTGTAGCATGTCTGTTTTTTGTCCTGCTCTCTGCCTTTAGTTTTCTGAAACTTTAAGTTTGAGCAAAGAAATTTAATTTGTCACCCCAGTACAGTCTTAAACACAGATTCCAGTAATGAACGTCACTGGTACAATTTATATTTGTCACTGTTGTGTAGAGGTAGGCAGTCCTCCAGATTTCTGTATCTGCCAGGCTGGGACAGAACACTATTTCACATTTGCTGTAAAGTGCCCTGAATAGCTTTGAAATGGTTATCATTGTGTGTGGTGGAAAGTTGACTAATACTCACAAATGAACTACTGCAGAATCTTCATTTCCATGAGAAATGTTTTTATGATATTCAGTGTTAAATAAAGGGAGTTGAACAATCTGAAGAAATAGTCTGCATAAGTAAACAGAAATATTTTCATCACTCTTCTGGGAAGTTTCGTGATACTGCATAGCTTTGGAAAGGTTTTGAAAGGAGACGAGAGGGGTTTTTGGTTGGTTCTGTTTTCTCCTTTTATCCTTTGTCCAAGAAGATTTCTCTTAGTCCAAGAGAATCTCTTAAGTTACGCTAGAACATTTTTTCTGTCCTTTAGCATAAAAAAGCATAAAGTGAGAATTTACTAGTGAGCTCTACTTATACAACCAGAAGTAAAGTTTGAAAAAAAAATTACTTGAGGTACTGGAGTGTTCAAGAATCAGAAAAAACCAGGTGCAGCAGTAGTGTAGCAGAATGTTGGAAGTGGAAGGGAGGTGTCTTGTTCCTGTTCTTCAGGGGGGAGAGAGTGTAGTCATGAAGGCACACATGGCTCAAATCTTGTTAAGAAAAAAAAAAAGTAGTACTTGTTAAGGAAAAAAAAAGTGCTCCAAACCACACAGTTCATGAAGGGAACAATATAAGCAGGTCATAATTCCTTTAATTACAGTATTTCTCTGTCCCTGTGTAGAGTGTGTAAATGGCTGTGTTGAACAATGATGGTAAAATGCTAATGACCTGTAACAGTGTGAATGTGCCTTTGCAAGGACACACAACTTGTAAGAGTTCAGTAACACCAAGAGGTAATTCAGACATACTGTATTAATGATTCAGTTTTTTGAGAAAATTTTGACTAGGATGGCTTAGGAGTATTCCAGTACCAGATACTTGATTCAAATCAGATGGTTTTGTAAGCATGGAAAGTGTTGAAACGTAGTTGTCTGAGTGTTGTTTTTTGAGGTGGTAGGTGTTCATTTGTTTGTTTGGGATGGGGTTTTTGTTTTGTTTATTTTTTCCCAATGTTTGAGTTGCTGCTAAAGCTTCTCCCCTGAAGCTTCTCCCATAAGGAATTTACAGAATACAGACTTACAGGATGTGTGGTAAAAGGAGTGCTCAGACATGTGGAAGACTTCCTTCCAATTTACCTGTCTGTTTTCATGGAATATATAGCAATTTCATTTCATGCTTTTAAACAGTGACTTTTTTTTTTAATCACATCTATTCCAAGTATGGTTGAAATAATATTATAGAGGGTGGAGCAGATTGCATGTTCACCATTTTAATGCAGCAGTATTATTTCTAAAGGCTTTGGTCTGAAAAGACCTTAAAAGATATCAATTCGTGTAAGCCACAGATAGACAGGAATACTGGAGTGGGACAAGGCAAGATGTAGTGCAGTACAAGGAAATAGTCAGTCTTAAGTGGTTTCTCAGAATTTCATGTGGTTTGAATCACGTGTTCCACTTCCTTTCCCCAAGAAGGTGTTGAGCCTTTCCTGTCCTCTCATCCTGGGTCAAAGTTCAAGATTGTTGTGCCCTGTAGAACTGTGTCTGGGAGGCAGCATGGTTGCTCTTCCTGCTTCAGTTAGGTAACAGGAAGAGAGAATTAGTTGAACTAAAGGCAGTGTTGACACATGACCAAATATAAATTACTAACCTGTGTGCAAAGGTAGAAGATTTCTGCTCATCTGGGACAGCCTGTACCAGGATCACTGGAAGGGGAAAAAAACATCATTAGCATGTATCATCCTCCCTGCCCCTTCCCAGTGGTGTAAAGCCTGATCACAAAAGGGGAAGGATGTGGATTAGCCTTAGCAGTATCAGCAGCAATGATTAGTGCAAGCAAACTGCGTGTCTACTTTGAATGAGACTCTTCTGTGAAAGGAAGAGAGTTTGCACATCCAAGTGATTGAGCTGTCTGCCGTTTTCTCTGCTCCTGACTCTCACTCTTTCTGCAGTGTCCCAAGTAGGTTTTGTGTAGTACTGCACAAGCTAGTAGGGACCCAGCCTACTTCTGGGAGCAGAGGAACAGCAAATGTCTTCTGCCATTGCGAGGTGAAGAATGGATTTCTTGACCTGTCCTGTTCACATTGCACAGGTCCTTCACTAGTTCACGTGCCTCTAAGTTTTAATCTGTGTGTTGCAATAGAGTGCAATAGTGTGTACTTGTATCACTTGAAAAATTGGACAAAGATGCAGGTCTGCTACACACAAAGGGGCGGGGTGGCTTTTAGACTACAGTGAGTTGATTTTCCTGTCATTGCCTTTATTCTAGAATATTGTGGGTGATGCTAAGCCTAAGGAAAGAGGTAATGAAATTCCATCATCTCCTGAAAACCAGGAGAAATTTAAAGAGCAAAGGAAAGCAACAGGTAATGCAAAGAAAGACGAAGATGAAAAGACATTAAAGACTGAGAAACGAGTTAAACAACCCGATAAAGAGGGAAAATTTATAGTCATCTCGGAAAAAGGCAAGATCTCAGAAAAGAATATACCTAAGAATGGAAAAGAAGATAAAGAGAATATATCAGAGAATGATATGGAATATTCAGTAGATACACAAGTTGAGAAGAAGCCTGAGAATGACAAGGTAAAGAGTCCACAGGAAAATGCGAAAGAAACTAAGCGAAAGCGTGGCAGACCACCAATAACACCTCCCACGGGTATGTAGCCAAGCTTAAATGTTTAGGCATGTACCAGAACACTTTTAAACTTACCTAAAGGAATAAGAAGTGTCTTGCTCTTTCACAGCCTAAATGTCTAGAAAGTCTTAAAAAAAATTAAGTTCATCTTTGTTCAGGACAGCCAGGAACATACTGAAGTTTGGAGCCTTGGTGGTTTGGTCAGAGATTGGATTTAGGCAAGTAACCATCACACAATGTAAAGCATACCTGTAGTAGGGTTGAATACTACTATACGGGTTTTAGAAGGCTGGATGAAGCTGTATTTATGCAGGTCCAGTATTTTAGATTGTGAGGCTTGGGAATTTGTGTTAAAGTGTTTCACAGCTTTGTATTTAATCAATTTTTCTTCTGTTATGTAAATATGTAGAGCCAAGTTCTCAGACACTGCAGCCCATAACTTTGGAGTTAAGACGTCGGAAAATACCTAAAGGAGGTGATGTTCCATTGAAGCGTCCCAGGATTGAAAAAACGTTGTGTGAGTTTTTTGATATTTAGCTCTCACACTATGTGTGTGTGTATAAATATAAAAGTTCTTCAAGCTTAATGGATGGAGGAGGGATAAAACAGCTATGGTATTAATCTTGAACTGTGATAGATGCATTGACTGAAGTACAGCATTTGTTTTTCACAAATTTGCCATTCATATGTGGCATCATCATGCTGGAATTCCCCCCTAAATCTTAAAAGTTGGTTTTGGATAAAGGAGGCATAAGTTGTGAGACTTGATGCAAAAGTTCATAGATGTATGGGTGGCAGTGATTATATTGCCTCCAATATATAGAAGGCTATAGAAGCCTTAGAAGTTGTAGAAACTCTTCAGTTACAAGATGGAGGATTAAAGCAAGGGCAGTTTAATGGTACATAAATATTCATGCCACTGCAGTTGAATAGCTTCTATTTTATCTTTGTGTGGAGGCTGAAGAACTTGAGTGTGTTGATGAGGAAAGAAAATTATATTCTCTGTAAAAGTGTCATGGCCAAGGAGATGAAGAGCTGAAGAAACTTTCCTTTCTTAATACCACAGTCTTAAACTTTAGTAGGTTATCCAGCTCAGTCACAGCTTTTTGCGTGTCTGAATTGTCTCATCTAACTCCTTTAGTCCGTGGAACAGTTTGTGTAGACCAGCTCCACTATAAGGTGATGAACACACCCCCACTGCTCTGCAGTATGCCTCTGTGTGCATTTTACTGAGTGGAATTTTTTTTCTCAGTAAGAAACTAATGAGATACTGATCTGTATTCATACTTCAAATCTGTTACTAGAAGAAAAAAGTTGAGAGCTTTTGCTGTATTTTTATGCTTATTTGTAACTTATTGTAGCTTTTACAGAGGCCTAATTTTCCAGGCTTTTTAGCTTTTGGTGCAAAAAATCTCCTTAAGCCTTAATCCTTAAAAGCACACTTTCAAAGGAGTCACAGGGAGGGAAGAACTTGGAAGTTTGCTTGTGATCTGTTTGTACTCCTGTAACTGCATAGTACCATTAAATACAACTGTTCCAGCTCAGGAAAAATTTAAGAACTCTTCAGATAATGCTGAGAGAGACCAGATCAGGAGGCGATCTTCAAGACTCTCATCCAGTATTAGCCATGAGATTTTAAATACAGATCTTGTCACAACTTCCACGGAAATTCAGACTTGGAAAGATGCAGTACCTAACCAAAATGAATCTGAGAAGGGTAAGTGCCTTCACACTGTACCCCAGATTTTGGGATGAGATGGTCGTGTGGTTGTTGCAAGCGTTATATTTTCAGTTGCTAAACCTGCAGGCTCTATATCTGCCATGAAAACCTGTTTGCATCAGCAGTACAGGGAAGACTCATGTAAAGTTTCTATTGCTCTGCTGCCCTGATTGCTTTTGGCTTTTGATTCCCTTTCTGTCAGTAACCTCAGCATTTCCCTTGGGTGATGGGAGCTTTTCCAGCAAAGGAGAGCTCCATAGGCTAAAAATTCCAAGGAAATAGTTGGTTTGGGTTTTTTTGATTGGTTGGTTTTCTTTTGTAGGGAATGCAGGTTCTGATTGTGAAAATGAGGTAATTTCAAAGTTTTAACACTTTCACATTGTAGAAGTAACAGCCCTTGTACTGAATTCTTACAGTTCTTACAGGTTAATCATGTTGTTGAACACTAAAAGCATCAAATGGGATGCTTTTATGCTTAAACAGGGTTAAGATAACACTCCCTTTTCTGCCCTCTGCTTCACTGCCTTTCCCTTTTGAGGGAGCTCTTGTAGTGGTGTGAGATCTGTCCTATTCTGGGCTATAAACAGTTAAGTTGTGTGTTTCTCAGCAGCTGTAAGTTCAGAGGGATACAAGTTAGTTGTGTTGCAAAAATTGTGTGTGACCAAGAGCAAGCAGTCAAGAGCATGGATGGGTATTTTTCTCCATTATAATGTGATGAGGATTCCCCCACTCCCTGCCCCCCGCCCGAGTTCTGAAGTATGTTTTTGTATACATTTTACTCAGGGGAAATTTTTTTTCTCATTCTAGTCCAGTTAGAAATTCCTGTTGAATCTGACCAAAGTTGTGGTGAACAAGGAGCACCTGGAAACGCATTGCATAGCACAGCACTCAGTGCAGATGCCAGTTTGCAGGAAGAAAAAGCTGAAGACACTGAGTCTTCCTCTGTTCCTGTCAGAACTCAAGAACCTTCTGCTGCTACAGGTTCAGGTTTTTCATACTTAATGTTGATGCATTTCTTAAGGCAACTGACACCGGGTGTTTTCTACTTGTGCAAGTGTTAAAAGGGAGCATTTTTGAAATGTTAACCATGGTAAAAAACGCATATTTTTATTCCTTGTGGACTCAGTTTTAGTCTTATGCTTTAAAGTTGGACAGCAATCTTAAAAGTGGAAATTGTAATTTTTAAATGACTGGGTGTAATATTTTCAGCATGATGATGAAGTTAACAAATGCTTGTTTTCAGTGTTTGGAATTCTGGATTAAATTGAATTTAACACCATAAAAGGTCAGGTTCTTTTCTCCTTAATCTGCTGCACGTATGTGGTAATACTACTGTTACTGCTGTTTGGAAATCCTCATTATGCATTTTTATATCCTTATGTTTAGACTTGGAGGATTTAGTGCAAATTTATGAAATAGTTCAAAAATTTCAGTGTCTGTTGTAATACATTTATTCTATTTTCTCTTAGCTGGGGAGTGTTCTTACCTTGCCTTTTCAAATTGAAATTTCCTGTGCAGATAGTAGACATAGTCAAAACATGGTGCTGTCTGGTGATTATTTCTCATAACTTTAATCTATTGATCTACAGCTAACTGGGGAAACTTGAAGTATATATTTCCTAGTTTATGCTCTATTTAACAAGTTTAATTTTAAGTGTAACAGAACACTTGGAGAGATTTACGGTTTCTCAGCATTGCTGGAGTAATCTCTGTTTTGTTTGGTTATTTTAAATTTGCCTCTTGTTTGCATTTATCTTCTCTCACTCACTTGGGTATAACTGTTCAAGTCACATGTCCTCTTCCTTTCCACTAATGGGTGGAAAGTGCTGGAAGGAACCGACCTCTTCACTTAGGTTGGATGTGTAAATGAAAATTTACACATTTACACTATTTAGAAATATGAGCTCTTTTGATGTTGGTCTCCTTCAGCTACTGCTGAGCATTTGTAATTTGAGTTTGAACTCGGGAGAATTCCAACTGAATGCTTAATATTTGTGTGTGTAGTGTGATTCACATGAATGGAATGTGTGGGATGTGGCCTGAGCTTGCTTCATTGGATACAAGCAGCAAAGCTGTGGGAGCAGGGCTTGGCTCACACTTGCCCAAAGGCTCTGATAGAGAGTTTGTGTACTCTTATTTCTAGCTCTTCTGTTAAGACTTGAGCAAGCTCGATTAAAGGTGATTTGGGAATATTCACTCACATTGAATTCTGACCTGAGGTACAACACTGTTTTTTACATAAAAATCCACACTTCTGAGTGTGGATTTTATTTAATTGAAAGCTGTTTCAGTTAACGTTAGAAATCAGACATGCACCTGAGTGGACATCCGGGTGTGGCAAGCAGGTGTTCTTATTGTAGAGTACTCTTAAGGATTGATGATAAAAGCTATGCAGGGTCTTGGAGTAAATACTGTAATCTGAAATCCAAGTGCAAAAATCTACATTTCCATACTTAACCAACATTAAAAATGTTATTAGCAAGCAGTTTTAGAAAATCCATTATTCTATCACAGAGAAATCCTTTGTAGTTAAAAGTGGATCTGTGTTTCCTTCTCTGTGCTCTGTCTTGGTTGTGGGATTGTACTGGTACACCCCAGTGCTGATGAGCTGCTTGATGGGGGAACAGCAGGACTTGGTATTTTACCTGGTAGTGGTGTATGTGTGTAGCAGCATGACAATGTCAGGTGCCTCTGGTGGGATCTGAAAATACTTCTAAAAATTGCCAGTGGCTTCTGCTCTTATGGAGGGGTAGATATGTTGCTGAGCCCAGGCATGCTGTCCTGAAAATAGCTGGTGTTGGAGACTGGAAGCTGAATTAAATAATTTATGGATGATTAGCAAGGGAACAGATAGGCTCCAGATAGAATAACTGTGTGTCAGGCGGTTATGTTCATTAGTCTGCCCTGTGTTTTAAAGAGATTTGGGGCTTGGGCAGGGGCCAAAGTACATTGTTGGAGAGTAGGTGGTGTGTGTGGGATGAGAGGGTGTGTGTTGCATGTGAGATTCCCACAATGTACAGCATGGAAGTTAGTCATTGGTAGCTTTCCATGTGTAGAACAAAGGCAGTATTGTAACCCAGTATTACCGTTATTATTTGTCTGTAGACTTCAATTCTAGTCACTTAATGAGAATGAATTACCTTCCTGTAGGAGAATACTGTGAAACCCGTTTTCCTCAGTGTGATTTGTTGGTGTCATTTTTGGCATTGTTGAGTAGTATATTCTGGTAGTACAAATTTTATCTTGCAGGATGTATAGGAAGAACATTATTTTTATAGCATTTGAATATCAGGAACTTTTAAGGACATGAGCATTCCTTTTAAAGGGTGTTTTTCTAGTCACTGATTGGTAGATGATTCAAGATTAATAGTGGTTGCAGATATTTATAACAGCAAACACAGTCTGGAGTCTTCCTATAACTGAGATGTTTTAAAATGTAACATGTTCTAAAAGGGCAATATAGCATTGCTTGTCAAAAACGAAGTTCCTTTTTAAAAAGCTTCACCGAAATTGTGAATAATTACATGTACTGAAAGATTAGAATCCTGTTCTGCTGGCTTTTGGCCCCCTAATGACAAGAAGGGGTGATCAGAATTTAGCTAAATCAAGCTGTCTTTCCAAAAGATATGTGACAGTCAGTTGGCAAATTTTTGCAGCCAGTTAAAGCTCTGCATACATGCAAAACCAGAAGCATTTCATAGCTGTTCATGTGAGTTTACTCTTAAAAATTCCTTTAAATTTGAAGGTGAGCTGCCTTTGTTTTGTGCACATCTGCTATTGTGTTTGTAGCTGTATTTGCTAGCACTGTTGAAGTTACTTATTTATTTGCATAGAGGTGCATCAGGGATTTTATTTGCTTTATACTTACGCCTGCTTTTCTGATTTTGCTGTTAGCTTTGGGTTTCAGTTAAGGAGAAGCCTAAGACCTTTTCATCAGTTTGCAAGAGCTGCTGTTTCTCCTGCAGCTCACCTCAGTAGGCTTTAATCCCTTCACGATAGCGTGAAAGTTGTATTTTTGAGCCTAACAATATATGGTAGGTAAGTCAGTCCATCCTGCGTTGCTCACTTAAAGCTCCCTAGGGTGGGGCACCACAGTCTGGTCACAGTGTTCCAGTTACAGGTCAAAGTGCAGGTAAAGCCTTCACATCCCCCCACCTGGCCCCTCCAACAGTACGCTGAGGTGTGAGTGCTGCACTGCAAGGCTTACGTGCTTTACTGCCAGTACAGGCTGCTTTTATTGGCACCGATTTATTTCCAGCACAGGGGGGAACTGGTGAGTGGAGTGTCATAGGAAATACTGTCTTGAGTAGTTCTTGCAGTGCCAAGTGATGTTACAGCTCAAAACCTCACAAGTTTATAAATATGTAATGATCAGTGATTATTGATGCTGTTATGTATTTCTTACACCAGGCATCTCCTCCTGTGGATTCTGAATGCACTGGAAATTCTTGGATGCTGTCCTTACCTAAATTAGCTTGAGAAGAGCAATTAAGCAAGATGGTTTTTGTTTCACGACTGACGTATTGAAAGAGAGGGGGTTTTTGAAAATGAAGGAAGAAATGTAGTTTGAGAGCTACAGGAAAAACAGCAGAAGATTTCAGAAGAAATAAGTTGAATGAAATAAGTAATTAGTGAGGACACTGCCCAGTGGTGTCAAGTGGTCCAGAGCACAGTGTGAAAATTGTCAGCTCAAGCATGTTTGTTACCATGACCTATCAGGATGATAATGCGCCAGAGAACATGAGTTTTAGAGAGTTTCAGCGTGTTTAATTTAACAGCAAGTGAAGAAATAATTTGATCTTCACTTAGTATTTCTTTGGAGACCAGGAAATAGAAAGTGAAGGTCTCCACATTTTAGCCAGCAGTTGTGTGTGGAAGTCTAATGGCTTGAAACTGTAGTAAAGCCACCTTTAAGTGGGGGGAAACAGGAAGAGTTCTGTGTGCTGCTGGCTTCTTGGATTGTTTACCAGGGTGTTGCAGGAGATGCCACAGGATGGCAGACCTTCAGTTAAGGTATATTTTTATTTATATATATATATATATTTGCTGCTGCCAAATATTCCTGTCCCAGCAGGAGTCATGTCAAAGAGAGAATTGGTGATAGTGTGAAAACACTTCTGGTGGACTTGGAAGCTTCACACTGTGCATTTTACAGTAAACTTACTGCTGAACATGGTCATAGCTTGAGCCTTGGATAATTCAGCCCAGTGAAAAGTGGGAAGCATTGCCGATGGGAACACTGAAGGAATGTTTTTCTCTGTAGTGAAACTTAAAGGACACATTGATGTTTGACCATGGGTGTCTGTGCTTAATGTTGTAATGGCTGAAAAGCAGATGAGGAGTTTGAATTTTGATTATAATCATGGGAGAAATAGCAGGTGTCAATTTACCATTCCTTTTCCTCTGTACTCACAGAAAATACCCACCAAGCTCCTCTGTAAAGGCAATTGCCTGAAAATCTGAAGACAATACACCAAACTTGTTTCTCTAGAAACCAATTGTAGTGTCATATGTTGTGAGCAAAAATTCCGCGTGTAAGGATGGTAGCTGCCGCTTTAGGTGTTGGTGTAGGATGTCATTTTCAGAGTGCACAGAACAAGGGCTCTCCAAAGGCTCCCCTGGGTGGCAGAGTTGGTTGTCACTTTCCTGCTGTGCCTGGGTGACAGGGAGTTCTATTGTGATACTTGTAAAGAAGGAAAATGTAGTGATGGGAATGATTGAAGCTTTGTTTCAGATTTTGTGGGATCGTCTGTATTTCTGTTACTCTGAATTCATTCCTTTTGCACATTGCAGTTAAGCTTTTTGTCTGCTTCATTTCCCTTTGCCCCGTGTCTTTGTTATCCCTATTTCTAACTTCAGCTAATGCAATAATTTCCTTTTTGAACTTGTAGCCGATTAGGTAGAAGCCATTCCCTATATCTTCTTCAGAATCTTTCTAGCTCCGTGGAGGAGAAGTGCTCTGGATGCAGGGCCTCATACTGACAGCTGTGTGATGGTGTAATAGTTTCCCTTGTCATCTTTATAATGGTTTTTGTTAAGTCTTTTTGACCGCATTAGTCCCTTCTGCTGCAGTTGTTTTCCAGCTTCATGTTGGTTACTAAATAGTAACAGATTCTCAGCATCTGTAGTCCCAAATGCTGTTTTTATTCCTTTACAGTCAAGAGGACCTTTCTGTGTTTGCTTTCACTAAACCCACAGGCCATTGCACTGAGCCTTCCTGAAATGTTTTCATTCTTCCTATATGCAGCTTTTGGTGGTCTGCAGTATATTTTGATTTTGGTAGTGGCAAAATTCATCTTTCTGCAAGTGTGAGTCTGGCTTTGCTGCAGTCTTATTGATGTTCCTGTCCGCATGTTCTTAATGTGGTTATGCCACAGTGTCTTCCTCCTGGTCATTACCACTGTGAAACACGCAGAGCTAGTATCTTCCTTTGTACTGTTTTGTTCTCCAATTTTATTGCATATTCTTTCTTTCTTTTAACCAGCTTGGTGTTGCATATGACTTAATCTTTCCCTATGCATTAGGGTACAACTGCTTGTGTTTTCTCCGTGTTAAAGATTTGTTTGTACATGATACTTAAAGGCTGGATGTGCCTCAGGTATAGCTGTCTCGGATGCTTCCCTGCACTGTGACAACCTTTAATTCTGCTGTTCAGTAACACCATTTTTGTTACTGCATGCTAAAAACTTGGAAACAAGCTGTACCGTGTTTTTACTCCAGGGTCGTGCTGACACTGCCTTTAACACTCTTGTTCAAAGCCCTACTGCACGTAGAGAAAATCTTACTCTTGTTCATGATGTTTTTGGGTACTTTTGTCTCTTGCTTAGAGCTACTTCTGATACAGTGTCTTAATTTTCATTCGTGTGCTGCATCCCTTGAGTTTTAGTCATGGTTGCTAGGTTCGGGTCTTGCACTTAAACACTGTTTTCTTAATCCTGAAAGTCGAAAACTTGTAAAGATGGAAATAACAATTTAGTACTGGCAAAGCAAATGGAAAAATTGTATTTGGAGGCTAGCTTTTTTTAAAATGATACCTCCTTTCCATTGTTTTCTAGCTGGAGAGGGATTTTTTGATGCTGTGTGTGTATTAGTGATGGATAATTGTGTAGATCTATTTAGATCGTTTCCTCATTTTTACTTCTTATGTGTTGTATTGAGTACAGATACTTGTGACAGTAATCTGATTTAGTTCAAAATGTTTCTTTTGTATGTTTCTTAGGAAAAATATGAACTAAAAGTTCCTAAAATTCTTGATAGATACAGCTCTGGGTTGCAGAGCAGTGCTCTGTGGAATAGGTGCCTTAAAATGTTCCTACATTTGAATCTTTAGACTTTCCTTACTTTTTTGAGAAACTAAGTAACATAGGGAACATTTGTAACAGATGCAAGCAAATTTGTTTTTCATTGCTGCTTAGAAACTGAAATAAATTCCAATTTTACTTTTAAAATGTTCTGACATACTGCTTCTGTTGTCTTTGAAAGTAACCAGCCTTTGGTGGCAGAACTCTGCACCAAGAAAGCAGGTAGCAAAATAATTGTAAGGAGAAAAGCAGAACTGTTTTCTTGCTTTCACCAAAGATGTGAATAGTTGCGAATGAATAATCTTTAGTATTCGGACTTGTGATTCGGTCTTTTATCTTTAGGAGCACCATACAGTGATATCAGCTGTTGGGCAAGGACTCAGGGAAGCAAAATATTTTAACTTATTCATAAAAACAGTGGCGTCATTACAACCAGATTTATGAGCAGTGTAGGGTAGAGTTTTCTCTTTAAAGTTACTAATCTTAAAGGCAGATAAGGCATTAACATTTTATTTCTAGCATTTCATAGCTAATATGTGTGAATGCATGCTTCTTTTTGCTGTTTAAGTTTAGGAAACCATTTGGTAAATATAGCATATGCATGGGGCAATTTATCTGTTTTGTTCTTACAGTAACAAAACCTTGTAGGAGAACAGATTTTCTTGCATCAAAAAAAGCTGCAACTGTTGACCAAGATCACAAGTTTAGATGCAAGTTCTTGGACTGTTCAAAATCCTTCCGCAAAGCCAAGTTATTGCATTATCACATGAAATACTTTCATGGAGTGGAGAAGGCTGCAGAATCACAGCAGAACCCTGTAAAAAGAAATATTCAAACCAGAGCTTCTTTGGCTTCTGAAAAAGCTAATCAAGAAAGGTCAAAAAGAGGACGGACCACAGCTGGTTCACTGTGTAAGTATGGTGTTGATCTCTTTCTTTTTTAAAACAGCAGCAGTCAGGACAGACAGAAAATACCAGAAATCAATTTTCCTTTGGGCTGAAGGAGTCTCTTTCAGGGCTGTGTCTTAGCATGTTTCTGTGTAGAGAAGCATCATAATACATGTGTACATCATGTTGTAGAAAGGTATGAAGGTGTTTCTTCTTCTAGAATTCAAGATCATTTTCTGGTAAAGATGCCACTGTGCAGCTTCTCTTATTTTTCTGTAGCAGCTCACTTGCGTATTAAACCTTTGTTGCCTTTTAAAACCCCCAGTTCCCTGAGTTTGAGTTGATTTTCATTTTTCTCCTGGCTTACAAATAGTATTGGTTGGAAACCTCCATCCTTTTCTGTGTTAGAACTGGAGGTACCCAAACCATTCCCTTTCTTATTTCTTCCTTATCTTTAGATTTTGACTTTACTTTTCTGTACGCCTTCAAGCACATACCTGGCTGGAAATCCAGTATGAGTATTTACTGTTCTATGTAATGAAAAATCCTATATTTAACAAGTGCAGTTTTTTCAGCTGTGCTTGAAAAAGATCTTCACACAACAGATGGTCAATGGAAAAGGACAAAAACTTACTGATTAGCAAGAATAAAAGTAAGTTTTAACTGCTTTGCAGTCTGCAAAATCACGTTCACTTCTGCTTCACCCTCGTTCTCTGAAGCACTCTCTGCCCGGTATGACACCAGAGTGGCAGTCCAGGTCTAGTGAACACTGCAGTGGTTGTTGATAACCTGCACAGGCTTGGCGCTTGTGGACTGATGTCTCTGTGTACCGCAAGTCCATAAAACTAGTCATGTCTTCTGTCTTTTCACTGAGCCTTTTTTATAAAATCCATCTTTCTCCTTGCTGACTTCCCTGATGTCTTTTGTCTTTGGCGTAAATCTTTCATTAATACGTTGTTTAAGAACTACAAAGTATGGCAAGTTGCTCATAGAGCTCCAGCTCACTGTAGCAGGATATGTCCTGCCTTACTTTGCTTTGTGGCTGCTCTTCTTAAGAGTCCAGAAAACGAGTTTTCATTTGAGGTGCTGCTGCTCGTTCCTAACAAGATATGTGTGACTTTACATACTGTAACTACATATAAACCCCAAATATTTCTGTATCTTTAAATAATGCAAAGGCATAAGCTTGGATTAGGTAGGAAAAGAGTTCTCTTTAAATGCTTTAGGATGTAATGATTTGTATGTATTGTACTCTGCATGCAGCTTAATTGAACCCAAGTGTTGCCTGGAGAAACATACCTGAGGTAGGCATGGTGTGAAGACTGGCTCCTGACAGCTGCAAATTGATCAAAACAGGCTTTGTGCATGTCATGAACTTTTCAGTAACCATTCTTCTATTTGGCTCTTTTGAACTGTGTAATTATTTTTTTTATTTGAGGAGTTGTTTTGTTGTGATTGAATGCACTGACTAGTAACTCAAGATCTTGACCCTTCCATTTATCCTTTCCTCCAAGTGCATACAGTTAGGTGCACCATAATCACTAGCAGGTAATTTCTTGTGGAGCTGAGGTCTAACTGTGTTTGCTTATTTTAAGCCTCCACCCCGACTTAATTCCCCATTTGTGGTTGGATACTTTTCACCTGGATCATTTCCATGATGTACTCCATAGCCGCTCTCTGCACAGAGTGCCTGGGGTGTGCTCACAGCTGCTGAACATTGCATCAAGGTGAAGGGGGATCTGTAAGGTTCTCAAGTCACCTTCACAGTTGAAGCCTGCTGTTGTGGAGCTATAGTAAATTTTTTCTTGATGAGGAAAGACAATGTCGTTGTATATTAGTTACATGTCTGATATTAAGTGCCACTGTTTTCTAACTCAGTGTGTTCTTCATGACCCTAATTTTTGTTTGGTGGTGCTATACAGTTGAAAGCAGAGTTAATGAGATTAATGAGCTCTTACTCTGAAGTTGTATTTAAAGTTCTGTTCTTCTGGCTTAATGACACGTATAGAAAGCTTGTCTTATAGGCAAGACCTTCTGTCTACTGAGCACTTATGCCACCTTTTCAAAAGGCTTTTCAGGAGGTACTGCTTAGAGTGAAAGCTTTTGAATCCATAATTCAGTCTGGTAGTGATGGGTGTACTTTTCATCTTTTTGAGATCCTTTTGTGAGCAAAAATTCTCCTGTTTGAAAAGAATATATTTAAATCATTGTATCTTTTGTAGAAGTGTCCTTTTCTTATACTTCACTGTATTAGGTAGATTTTAGTGCTTAAGAAAAGGTGGCAGTTTCTAACAGATAAAAATTTCAGCAATCATGATTTTTGTTATTTCATAAAATTGAAGATGCTCTTGCCTTAGGACCTTTGTCAAACTTATCTCAAGTTTTATTTTAGATCTCTGGAACTCCTTACTCTTTATGCTGCACATAAAATAAATGGTGGGGGTTATCTGGTGCTGGATTTAAAGTGAAAGTACTTACTGCTTCTAAAGTTGTAGGAAAATGTGGAAAATGCAGAACAGTAGCAAAACCTTTTCCTTGCAGTGCTTAAAATTAAAATTTTTAACACATAAAAAAAAGATTAATGTAAGTGGTCTTCAGTGACCATGTTGTGAGATTTGGGAAAAAACAATTCAAATATAGTTGCTTTGCACTGGAGTGAGACTCCAAAGTTAAAATTTCTAGTATGTGAATAGTGCTACTTGACATTGGAATCAAAGCTTGAGTAAGCTGGAAAGGTTAGCGTGGTACTGATTTGAGCTGTCTCCCTGTTTCCAAGGAAGGCTCTTGCCTTTGCAGTGGCAAACTTGACAGATAGATCTCTAAATTCTGTAGTTGCTCTGAACAGAGAGGAAGGAAGTGCCATCGCCTGCAGCTCGTATTTTACATATGCCTTACAGAATATGCCTAAACAGAATGACTAGGACTTCCTTAAATTTATCAGAAAGTAGTATGGGATCATTTTAGCTGATGAGCAGCTCTTCCCCGAAGTGCCTGTTACAATATTTACCTCCTTGAGTTGCTGCTGCTTTGGTCTTCCGGAAAGAATTGTCCTTACATAGAAGAAGGCACTTGATGTTGTGTCCCCCCTGGGCTAGAGGAGATGCAGGTGTGCCTGCCCTCAGCTCTCAGGTTGCATTACACCTCAGGCGCATTGCAGAACCACCTGCAGGCCTCTCTTAGGAGAATCGAGATCTGTACAAAATATGTGTGGATGTTTAAGCCTAAAAGAGGCTTTTTGAGTCTGGGCTGCAGATGACTTCAGTGTTGGTCTTAGATCGAAAGAGTTGCTTAGATTTTTGTGCTAGTTGAAATAGAGATGCTCTATCAGAATAATTGCTTGGAAATTAAATATGGTACATTATCTGTGACAGTTTGTCGGTTAACTACCTATTGATTGCTTTAATGAAAAAAATGGAGTACAGATGTACAGAACATTCTTATTTGGAAGTCATCCACAAGGATCATTGAGTCCAACTCCTAAGTAGAACTGCATTCTGTGCCCATATGCATTAACCTTAAGACAGTTTACTTTCTTTGTGGTCCCTTCTCTTTCGCTGCAGAACCCCTTACTTTACTGTTAAAATACATCATCCCATACTGCGACTTATGCCCTGCAGACACTGTAAACAGTTTTCTCTTTCAGATTTTTCTGTCCATGTTATTTTGTATAAAGTGCTTGCAAAAGCTTTTTCTTAATAAAGATTGTTCTTTCCTGACCTATAAAAATTGTGGGTTTTTTATATAATTTTATAAAAAAGGTTTTTTCCTGATCTAGACCACTCCAAGGGCATGAGGCATAGAACAGTTAAATTTCTTTCTTTGTTACCTGCAAGTCACAATTTTGACATCTTGACTTGGAGTTTTTCTGTATTGGTGACTTTGATCTTTTTAGTGAAGTCTATCCATTTGGAGATTTGCTAACGTAGTTAATGCATTTGGGCTGTGAACATACCTTCTGAAATCCGAAAGTCAGGACTTGAGAGCTTGCACAGCTGATGTGTCCCCACATCATACCTTGGTGAAGCTCTGTACTTGCTGGATGCTGAGGATTTCTCAGGAAACACAAACCTCATGAACAAGAAGGGGAGTTGATAACAGAAGTGCCATCTGAGGTGATCGGTGTGCTCTTAATAACTGCTTAGTACTGGTGTCAGCAGTTGTACTGACAGCGACCTCATGACTTGATACCCAATGACTCCCTAGGACATGGTTTAGTTCCTCTCAGGAGATTTGGTAATAATAAAAGCTTAACTCAGTTTTGGGACTTCCAAAGCACTGCACAGTATTAGGCTTTGATTTGGAGTGTGGGTGTTATACAGTAGCCTCAGTCTGGCAAGTTGCTGCCGCTCTTGGCTCTCCTGTGTTCCTTGCCATGAGGAAGAAACTAAAGGAACAGACCTGCAGTTTTTAGTTTGGCTACTATAAAAAAATCTGTCCCAACTGTGGAGTCCATATAAATCACTTAAAGAAGGAAAAAACGTTTTGTCAGTAGATTTAAACTTTTTTACATAACCTCATTTTTAGAAAATTTTGCCTACTCAGAGTTATTGACAGTATGTCCTGTTAGTGTATAAACTACTCCATGCATTAATTCTTTACATGAGTAAACAAAATAGGTATTTTTTTCCTTACTCGTGTTACTGATGAGAGCTCAGTTGTGTGTGGGTGGGGTTAGCAAACTTGTTTTGACATCTTAAGACATCTCAGGCATCTGGTTGTCTCTAACCGCTATTCTCAGGCAAACCTCTTGCTTGTGGTGTAGTGGTTGTCAGATTAATCCTTTGGGAAATTTTCCTGTTTCCTCTTGATTCTGGCTGACCCATGCCTCTTTACTAGGCAGTGGGTATGCATGGTGATCTACAAATGTGAGCTTTTTCCATGGAGCCAGGGAAGATCTGTATGAACACCCTGTGTGTCTGCAGAGTTGCCGGTTGTATTTGGCTTATCAAGACAGTACTGCATTTGGTTTCTGGGGGGTGGCTGTAAGTCAAGATGAAGCATGGTCTTTCAGTTCTTGAAAATACCACTGGAAATTCCCAGCAAATGATCTCACAGCTGTGGCTGGTAACTTTGTCTGATTCACATACTTGGGAATGCAGTCTCTGCTTCCTGTGAATGCTGAGTTATCGTCTTACCTGGGGTCCTACATCAGGGTTCCACAGGACAGAAAGCTACTGCCTTGTCTGTTGCTGAACCTCGATGTGTTTAGTAGTAAGTTTTCTAAAGCTTGATCTGTGTGGTTTCTGCATCATTGAGATAATTTCCTATTTCAGGTTTGTGTGTGTTAGTTTCTAAGATCCTTCACAGCTTCTGGGTCGGCTCTTTATACGACAGAGGATACTTCTTCCAGACTTAGGAGAGACAGGCCTGAAAGAACTCCATGGAAGAAGGCTAGAGACAGTTAATCAGCAATCCAGTTCATCTGCAGTATCTTGTGAACATACGTCATATTCCTGTTGGTAGTATTCAGTGTCATCTGAGCTGGAAATTTTTGCCATGTGAACTGATATCTTGACCCCTAGTCATGGAAGTTCTCAGAGGATCAGGAAGTCGAAATAGACCTGACTTAAAAACAAACAAGTAAATAAAGATAGCACCAAAAAACCCAACCAAACAAAAAATTAATTAACCGTCTGGACAAAAGGCATCTGTTAGAGAGTCTTGTGAGTAAATAAAGATAGCACCAGAAAACCCAACCAAACAAAAAATTACCACAAAAATTAACTGTCTGGACAAAAGGCATCTGTTAGAGAGTCTTGTGTGGTAATTGGGTTTTGGTTTAATTTCTGTCTTTTGTGGCTGCTACAGAGCACTAGGGCAGTTGACTAGAAGATACAGTTGTGGAAATAGTTAAAAGTGGCGCCTTTTTTTGGAATTTTTTTTTTCCTTTCAGTTCAAACTTCCTAGAGAAAGAGGACCAGGGAAAATGTCGTCAGATTTCTGCATCTTGGAGTTTCTTTTGCCTGAAGAGATCTGTGTGATTCTGAAAGCTCTAACAATGGCGTCTCTTAATGTGCCTTTTTATTTCTTCAACTTGAAATGTTGATCAGGGCAGAGTGTTTGATCCAGTTTCTTCTCCTAAGTGTGTCCTCTGGGACTCTTTCCCTTCCCTTTTCAGTCACACTCAGGTTCTGCTCACAGTTGTTTTATCAAAGGTGTCTAAGTGTGGCATGTTAATCTCCAGACCAGAAACAAGCTGCCTTTCTTACCTCTGAACTTGAGATGCATATGATGATAGAACTGGATGTTTTTGGTAAATGTCAGCAGCCTGTCACCTTGGCTACTGCGTCTCATTGACCAGTGTACTTGATGTGATGACTCCAAAAGTGCAACTGGTCTTGTTTAGTCTGCTGTCCTATCTGCCATGCAGCTTTAGCTTTTATCACCTTCACTGCTCTGTTCCTGTGTTCAGGAGTCTTTCAGGAGGAGTTGCCACTTGCAGTTAGGAGGATGAAACTGCTTGAGTTAATTTAAATAAAAAATGAAATCTCTTACGAAGCCATGTGTGCATCTTAACAATTTTTATGAATTTTAGGTAGTGGTTCTGAGTTCTTGCATCTCACTCTAGATTGAAGCACTGTTGTTTCAGTAGTATGTATTTAAAAACTGTTCTTCCTTATATGTGCAGAGCTGCTTTATGCCACTTCAGTGTGTGTTACAAAGCACACTTTCAAGAACTGGCTGTGGTTCCTCTAATTACACCAACTGGGCACTTTTTCACTTGGAGGAGCTAAGAAAAATTACCCAACCTCTATCTCTGCTGAACTGAACTGTTTCTCTTTTCATTTTTTCTCCAAAAAAAAGTCACAGTTTTTCTGGAAGAATAGAGATTTGGGAATGTGTGGACATCCCCTGTTTATTTTTGAATGAAAAGCCCATCAGCAAATCCAGCAAAAGTTTTGGAGGTTTTAGTGTTTAAGTCAGGGCTAGGACTGAGTTGAGCAATGTCTGATCAGAAACATTCCACATGGTCTGTCAGAGCTGCTGCTGCTGAAATAGACTGGCTTTGGAAAGTATTTAAAGCTTGGACTTGGTCTGTGTTCTGTTTGTAGATGCTCCTCTACACATAACCCTCAGGAGTACCCCATATAGAGATGAAAAAGTAGAAAAGAGAAGAACTTCAACTCCTGTAAGTGCACTAAATAGTCACCGACATTCTATTAAAGACCAAACCAGGAGCCGCATAGCAAGAGCACTGCGGAGGCCTCGGGAAAGAGTTCAACATGGTACGGTTTGGGTTTAACGTGGAAAGTTAAGCATGGAAGGTTAACGTGGAAAGGAAAAAGTCTTGAGAAAGTTTTAAGCATTGTAAGGCGCTGATAATATTCTGTATACCTTTGTTATAGATGAGTAAATGGTTGGCTCTCACAATTAAGGGGTAAATATTATTTGTATGGTATAAGTTTTATAAATGTATAGTTATGTTACTGCAGTGTGCTCCCCCCAATATGTGTTATCATGGGATGGTCTTGATAATCCAGGGATTTGGGAAGGTTGGCTTGCCACTATGGCAGCACCTGACCTCCAATCAGAATGTAAGAAAGTGACTTCTACCACTGGATAGCAAGGAAGGAATTGACTGACAAGGCTTTAGGAGAGGCTAACAACATAAAAGGCGAAGCATCCATCTTGAAGATGAGCCAGCCACTTGGTGGGCAGCCATGAGAGCAGTTCCCAGTACTACTTTTTCTTATCTAGTTCTTTTGTTGTATTTTCATTAAGATTTAATAAACCCTTTAATTTTTTTTTTTTTTAAGTGGGCAGTTGTTTCTCACACCTTCATTTAGAGAGTAATTCGGTATAAATGTATGGCATAAAATGTAAGCAGTGCTTTTTCACTGTCATTTTGTAAGTTTTTATGCTCTCTGCACTGGGATTTATTCTTCCCAGTCAGCTGGTAATATTTATAAGATGTAAAAAGTACCAAAGTATTAAAGATCATTAAAAGGTTGTAGGTCTTAATTCTGTTAAACTCCTGGCTGCCCAAATCATTAAATATTTTAAGTAATCTTGTACCTACTGAGACACCTAAACTTAGAAGCGGCGGATGGGGGTGGACATGAGGCAGGATGATCTAGCATGGTTTATTTTGCAGGGGATTTTTTCCAATAGCACTTGACCACTTCTGGTAGTCAGCAGTTGCTACTAGACATCTCTGAAGAAATTCACAACTTTGACTGTTCCGGGGTATCGTGTAAACTCTGTACTGAAATCTACTCTAGTATAAGTGGGTAACAGCCGAACAGGATGGGGGGATGTATGTATTCACTCACATACGCTCAGAGAAACAATAGATATATTTGAATATTTTGTATGTATATAAATAATACACAAATAATTCCCAGCATTCTTCTAAATTACTACATCACCACTTTCCTTCAGATGTTGGTAAGAACTTGAGTCACAGTGATGAGGAAAACATTAATAAAATTTGAGGTTAGACTGCTGTATCTATGACAGATGCGCTGTCCCCTGGAGATGACCTCTTTAGCTGCCTATCTCTGTGTTGTCCTGTTGATCCTAGCAGACAGACAGTACTTAGCATCTTGTTTATTCTTGGGCATCCCTCACTGCCCTTCCTTGTAGGAAGGTCTGAATGAGTTCCATCAGTATCTCCTCACTGTTCCTCACTCAGCGGGATGTGTCCTATGTGCAAGTATGGCATTTAGAGATTATAATGAACTTTCACAGTGGTGATGTGTTGGAGGATGGTGAGCACTCCTCCCAGTTCTTACGAGTCTCTGTTATTCAAGGAAGTTGAAATCCTTTGTCTTTTCAAAAAAAAAAAAACCCAAACCATTTGAAAATATAGTTGTTTAGTACCTGGTTTTTTGGAAGACTCAAGTAGAATACTTGAATACTTGTTCTTTGAACTTTTTTTTTTCCATGGAAACAGGCATTAACTGTGTTGCGCATTTCAGAAGATAACTGCACAAAGAAATATGCAAATATTTAGATTTTTTTTTCAGATTTTAAGACACATGGGGAAGCTTAAGGGGACAAAGTGGATAAAGTGGCAGTTTATTTTGTATTTATCTTGGATATTTTGATAATGGTTGAGGAGGCTTACCATGTGCCCTTGGATATCTTCAAACAAATCCAGCAAAATCTGATCATGTGAATTTGAATTTTCAAATGAAAAGACGCAAAATTTTCCTACCTCTGTGGAGTTCAGTTATTCTCTCTTTGCCCTTCTGGAAGAATAAAATGGTAGAACTTCCTTGCATCCCTGTGAGCAAAGAGAAGGAAATGATACCAAGAGGATCGTGACCATTGGAAGTACAGGAGATGAGGACAGAAGGAAGTTGGAAGCACTGTGTTCGATACTTAAATTACCTGCCTTTTCTTTTCATGTTTTTTGTTTTGCTTTGTTTTTAACCTCCCTCAACACCAAGAGGTGAAAGAAGGTGACTTTTGTGCTGCCAGTCGTGCTGCCTTTGGAGGCCAGGTGCCTGGTGTGGCCGTGTGGGTGAGCACACTGAGGTGTCTTTGCTAAGCTCATGCTAAGAGGGGCACAGAAATAGCAAAGTAGCAGGAAATCTTTGAGGACTGAGAGGGATGGGGAGGTGCAGAGCTCAAGAGTCTCCTGAGGACAAGCTATTAAGCTTGTCCTGCATGCTTACCAGAACTGATTAAATGTGACTGCAATTCGCCGTTTCTCAGTGAACTGTTCGTGCCATAAATACTCAGCCGATGAATCGGGGAGTTTGCTGTTGACATAATAGGCTGGTATTGCTGGTTTGCTTCATGAATGGTTACAGACAACCTAGGGTTCTCAAATGGTTTGTGCAAGTGGAGATTTCTTACAGTATGGACTCTCTTCAAGGGCTTATTCAGATCTCTATCATCTGACATTGTAATGGATTTCTGAATGGGATGGTGAGTGGTTTAATCAGCCAAGCACTCTGGGAGCAGAGCCGTTTTGAGATACAAGGCATCCTTCCATAATAGGTGTTCATTACATCTCTGAGTCAGGATAATTTACATAAAGAACTGCATAAGTACTAGAAATACTGCTGCTGGGATCTAAATCTGAAAGACAGGATGTAACCAAACACTGGGGTCTGGAAAGCAGGGGTTTGTGTCCATGCCCTTGCAACCAGGTTATACTGAGCTGTGCATGCTCTGGAAGCATGCTTTGAGGATAGACTTGATTGGCAGATGTCAATCATTAAAAAATTATGGTGTGTTTTTAATCCCATAAAAACAGGATGGAGAATGGATGCTGAGAGAGTAGTTAAAGCCAGCTGAACCAGTTACTCCATTTTCAATATAAATAAAATATTTGACTGGGGAACTGAACTGAAATCTGGGGTGTTGGGGTTTTGTTCTATTACAATGCTAGTGAAATGTCCAGTCATAATGAGGTAGAAAGTGGATGTAGCAAATCCCTCAGTGTTTTTTATGATATCTCTGAAGCATGTAAATAATAAAGGGACACTGCTGTACATTTTATTTCTCCTACATGGTACTTATATTTTGTTATGGGACAGTCCAATTAGGACTAAAATAGATTAATCCAATTGAGAGCTGGGGAATTCTTAAAAATAAGTTTTCTTCTTGGGTTTTTTGTTTTGTTTTTTTTTCAGGGAACTGGCCTTGATCGACCAAAGGAACAGGAGGCTTTTAAGAACATTATGAAGTAGAATAAATGTATATGTTTTTTTAAAACTAATTTGGTATTTTGTCTAATTTCAGCTGTTAAAGGACATGAGAAGAGCAAAGAAAAAAAATCCAAAGACTTCGAAAGATCCAAGTCAAAGAAAAAGAAAAAAAAGAAAAAGAGATCTAAGCCTGGTAAAGTTCATTTTTCTTTTGTAGATGAAACTGGCTTCATTATTTTGTTTTATTACCTTAAAAAATCACTTTAGATCACTTAAGACCAGGCATTGCGTTTCAGCCATTTTCTTCACTTAGCTTTTACTTTATCAAATAATTTATTTTAAATTGTGACTGAGAAGATAATCTGTTTCCTGGTTAAGCTTCATTATTAAGGCTGAATGGTGGTCGGGCTTTCCCTTAATAAGTGTGCTTCTGTGCAAGCTTTGCCCAGTTAAGAGGGTGCAGATGCCCTGTGTACAGGCTGTGCTCAGTTATGTTAGTTCTGGGACTGCTTTAGAATGCTGGAGTTCGGAAACATTGAAGCCTCTTTTTCTGCTGTTAACCTTATTATTTCTTAAACCTTCACTTTGTGGGGGAGAGGGCTGTAACAATGAGCCCAATTAAACCTATCACAGCCTTAATTTCTTTCTTAAAGAAATTAATCTTTTTTCTGGAGAGATTTAGTAAAAGCCCGATTTGAAGTCTATACTCAGGCTGTGTCCCTCTTTCATGTCTCATAACATGCTGTTGCACTAGATGAAAATGGCTGTAGTAGCAACGTGTGTTCTTGGTTTCATCTGTGGAGGCTTGGGAATGGTTTCCTGGTGCCACTTCAAGCTTTGAACTTTAGGTAGAGGCCAAGGTGTTAGAGGTAATGGATTCTTCACTGCTGAAAACACAGCTGATTCTGGAAAATCTCTTTGGTGAAACGTTTAAGGATCAAGTGTGACAACTTCCTCTGCTGTTGATGGGGATGCAGCATACTTCAGTCTTCTAGGCATCATTTGTGAAACTAGATATCTCCCTAAGGAGGAGTTTGTGAGATAGAAAATACCTTGCTTCTCTGATTGATGCCATGAATAAGGCAAGCTATCAAGGGAGTGGATTGGAAGAACCATAGGCCAAGTCACTTAGAGTTGTACTGAAACAAATAATTTTAATGAATTCCTGATTGTATGGTGCACACAAGTACAATGATAAAGTGAAAATCTAATTTGTAGGTTTATGCACCAAGTCTCCGTGAGCCACTTATCAGTCTGTCCTTGGGTTTTAAGATGTTGCATGCCTTTTTTTGATGTTGACCTTATAGTAATTCAGTCCAGAACTGAAGATTTTTTCCAGATAACTGGAGAGTGCTACTTGTAACTTTGGCTAGCCTTGATTTATATCCTGTGTAGGCCTCACAGAGGAACCATTCAAGGTTTTTTCTTCACACACTCTTCATCTGGGCTTGTCCACCTGTGCATTCTGTTCCATACATACACTAGGAAACAAAGTGCTTTCTGTCCACTGTGAAGTCTGTGAGATTAGGGAATGTGTGTGGCCTCGTGTGAGTAAGAGTGGGATGTGAGGGGGAGCTCCAGCTAGTGGTGCTTGTGTGGAAGGGCCTGTAAAGCATTTGTACACCTACTCAGCCTGAAGAACAATTGGCCTGGAAAGGCTGGTCACTTAGACCGTTGTCACTTCTGACAGCAGTGAACAGTGACGGAGCGGCATAAAATTGTCTGGTTCAGAAAATACCTTCTTGCCCCTGGAAAGCTTGCGCATCTTGCAGCAGTATCATTCAGTCCCAGAGCTCCAGCATACTGGGAACTGGCTCAGTGAGTTACACATTTCTGCTATGGGCATGGATGGTACTATTTCTTCTGTCAACTTTTTTTGACCGTAGATTTTTAATTGTAACATTTACTACAATTTTACAGGGTATTCGGGCACGGGGGAGAACACAGATATCTCACAAGAGCTTTCACCTGAAAAATCAGTTGTCACAAAATCTAATTCTTCTAATAAATCATTGGCTCACCCAAGTACCCTGCTTCACTGCACTGATTCTGGACAGCACAAGGGAAAATCAAAAGCAAATGGTGAGATGACTCTCCTTTATGGCTTTCTGATTCTGTCTTTCATTACCAGTAAATATGTGAGCAGCACTAGCATACTTGAAAACTGGTTCTTATTGTATAAATTTGGCTATTCTTACTCAGGATTGTGTGTATTTCTTTCCCCCTGTTTGACAAGACTGGACCCAGTTCGTTTGCCAGAGCTTGATGTTGCTGCTTTTTACTTTGACTTTACTTTCATGTACACTTCAAGAGTGTTGCCCTTATTTCAGAAATCAAACTCATTTTGTGGGGTTTTTTCCCATTGCCTTATTAACTCCTAAAATAACTATGTTACAACTTAATAATTAATTTTTTCATATTTCCAAAAGTTTGTACGAAGTAAGGACTCCTTCAGAGTTAAAAATGGGTGCTTTGCAAGCTTGGTGTGTTCAAGAGAACACTGGCTGTGGTGATGTGTAGTTGTATTGATACAGAGTGAATATGGTTATAATCACTTTCTGAGCTTCATATGAGAAGCCCTTGAGTACTGTTTATTGGTGTCTTCATAGTACTTCATACACACAATCCATAAAAATCTGGCTGCTGTGTACCAGCTTTTATAATTCGCAATATCTTTCTCCATGTTGCTACTTAGTGATACAAACTGGTACAACAAAAAAGATAAACATTTGGTTTTTTCTCTTGTTCTCAAAACTCACAGATTTGTAGGAAATAGAAAATATATGACAGCTTGATTGTATACAAGAACCTTAAATTCCTTTTTGTACAGATATACTGTTGAGAACCATGTGAGCTTGTTTTGGGTTTTTTTGTTTGTTTTTCGGTTTGGGTTTTGGGGTTTTTTTGGGCATAACTTTGGTTTTGGTTTTTTTGTTTGTTTGAGCTTGTTTTGGTGGGGTTTTTTTTTGTTTGTTTTTTTGGTTTGGGGGTTTTTGGTTTGGTTTGGCATAGCTTTGTTTGTTATTAAACAAAAGTAGAATTTAACTTCAGTTAAATTCCCCTTTATAGGCCAAACAGGAAACATTAAAAACTGTTGAAGTGCAGATAGTGGCAACATCTTGAAACTCGTTTTGCAAGTCTGAGCAGTTGTGTTTCTGGAGTATATCAACCATAGGACATACAGTTTAGTAGCTTGGCCATCAGTTGCTCTGGCTTCTTTTGATCAGTTAGATAGATATTGAAAATGGTGAAAAATACCAGAAATTATTTTATCTCATCAATTTTTAAATTGTTTTGTTGCTTTTTGCATCTGCAGACTTGTGCCTAAATAAACAAGATCTGGTGTAAACAAAAATGAAACTTTGGTGTAATATGGAAGTGTAATGTGCCTAACCTTTCCTACTGTCACTTCCACAGTACTTTAGGAAAGAATTTCCTAGTTCAGAGGTGGAATAGAACTTTTAAACATGGAAATAAACTATTGTGTTAGGTTCTCATCCCTTTTAATTTGACAACAGATATTTCTCCAAAAGATACAGTTTCTGCCACAGACCAGTAGTTCTGTTTTTGCATTCTATGAGATAAATGATGGAAATAGTCATACTCACTGTAGGTGAGACCCCACCATCGTACTTAAGACTAAAACTTTTACTTTCCGTTCTCCTCTAACTCATTAAATTATTTTCAAATAATTAAAATACCTCATCTTCTTCCTCTGACCCTCCCATTCTATCCCCAAGGAAGATGCTGACATTGATTTAATATTACTGAGGTAAGAGTCTCAATTCAGCATGCTGTTCAGTTAAAATTTTCTTGGCAGTTTTATTCAATCTAGGATGCACTAATGCTTCAGTTGAGTAGTGTGGGTGCATTCTGGAACAATACCTTGTGCACTGCCTGTGAGTTTATAAATGCACCCTAAACAGAAGATTATATGAAAATAATAATAATTTCTGAAGCAGGATTAAATTCTGTGTTGGAGCCAGTATTTCTGTCATGGAAACATCACTTGGTGAGATTGAATGGTTCATAAAACAGAACCCACTTGCCTCTTTTTGAGAGCTCTACACTAGAAGTGCCAAGTCACAATTCTGTACCAATTGCAGCAACTAGCATGAGTCCTATTTGAATGTACAAGCCTGGTTTTGTTGTTTATAGTTTTGTCTGAAGAGACTTCGTTCCTTGGTTTGAGATGCTGTATGTTGACATACAGTACAATTTTAATGGCAAAAGCTCTTTAAGATGGGTATTTTGAGGGAGCCATTAATGAGACTGTAAAACTTCATTATGTAGTAACATTCAATAAACAGTTAAAATTGTAGTATTCCTTAAATTACACTGTGAACTCATGCTTTTTGGAATGTGTATCTGCATACTTGTGATGAGATTTTGAGGGACCTTTTTTTATAATTACTCAGGGTTTTATGTAAATACTTCTTGTACAGAGGATGACACCCTGAGTGAGTCATCTATGGATAGCTTGCCTTGGAGTGACGATGACTGCAGTCAGGATGTTGATGTAACCACCAACCCTGATGAAGAAGTTGAAGAAAGTGATTTTGAGATTGTTCGGTGTGTTTGTGAAGTAAAAGAAGAAAATGACTTCATGATTCAGGTATGAAGTGGAGGGTAACTCTGCATTTCAGTGAATGCAGTGGAAGGTGTCAGTAGAGAAATTTTTGTTTTGTACATGAAATAATAAACTATTGTTGTCTTCCAAGGTCATAACATTTTTTGAGGTAATCTGTCAGGGTGACTGCTATGCTAGTTAACTTCTGCTTCATAGTACAGTTTAGGATTTTTAATTGAAGGAAAGAGGGAGCATTCACTCCAAGTCAAAAATGGCTGGTTTGTCATTTGTGAATTTTTCTAAACATAGACTTCCTTGATTCTGAGAACAGATATTTGAAATCAGTGATTTTTTGGGCAGCCTCTAATTTAGAGCCTTTTCAGAACATTGCCATGAGATAGTAGTGTACTTCTCATTCCTCTGCCCTGGTAAGAAGCTTGACTTACACATACAATTCTCCAGACAGGCTGGAAAAAAAAAAAAAGGAGGGTTTTGCTTTAAAGCACAACTGCATTTGTCATTTGTCCATTCTGCAGTAATCTGCAAATTCAAAGTTCCTAATCTGCCTAAGGCCATCTGTCCATTCCACATGCATCTGCTCTTTTTAAAACAGCTTCGCAGAAAATTTGGAGAGGCTTCTGTTGTCTCTCCTGCTTAAAACTGTTGAGAAAAACCTCCTTGGAAGTTACCTGGCTATTTACATTGAGGTGTTTGTAAATTATCAGGAAATCATTTCCCTGCGTAGCTGCTTTAACCATCCCACCCAGTTCCTATTAATTTCAAGAAGTGAAGTCAAAAAATCAATTCAATTTCTTCATAATTTTTTGCTCTAATTAATTTTCTTTGAGTTTCCCTGCTATTTCATGGAGCCTTGCTGTGGAAGGTATGATGCTTTTGCTCTTAGTGGTGAGTTCCCTTCACACACCTTTGTTTTAGTGCTGGATCTTGACAATGCAAGGCAAAAAAGTACCTTATGAATTAGTAAGGAAGGGTGGAGTGGTGGGCAGTGGTCAAGTGTAAGTAAATAGCACCAGACTGTACAGGAGGAGTCTGACAGTGGTGACTAAAGGGGGGTAGATGTCCTCTGAGAAGATGGCTTACAGAAGATCACAAAGAAATAGCCTGGGAGTGTAACTGCCAAAAGTAAGTTCAATACTAGGTTAGCATTACAGAATGTAGGGATCAGTCAGCTGGCTGTGGATGCAACCTATGGATGCCTTTCCTTTAAAAGTTTTGTGGGCTGCTTCGAAGATTACCTTGCTATGTTGAACTAGTTTGGGCAGGGTTTTTTAGCATATTGCAAATTTGTAAACACTTGAATTGATTTGTGAAAGAATTGGTCTCTGGAAGAGAGATGGCAGATCAGCAGTACTGTGAGTATTTGCATTCTTTATGGGGATTTAGGTAATAGGAAATGTGCTGGCACCTGGCATACCTGCTTGGGTTTGCTGCCTACCTGTCTTGATATCAGAATGAGGAGCCAGGGCAGTTTCTTCATGGATCTGGCTCGAGGTTCCTTGCTCCCAGTGTGCATGTATCCCCTCCTCTCTTACAAGAGGGGGAATGCTGTGTGTTCTCTTTCAGCTGTGTTCATTGCCATGAATGTGCCAAATTTAGAAATAATGCAGGAAAATGTTAATTTTAAACACATCAGCATCTTCTTGTCCATGAAAGACTGGGGAACATTAAAGTTTAATGAAACTCATACACAGTTAAAATGGGAGTTCCTTTAGGTATTTAAACTAATAATTTGCCCCCACATTCAACAGATTTTATAAAAAGTTTTCTTTGACCTGTTCTTGCCTTAAATTAATTGTCTTGAGCAATTTGTGCATTAAGGGTGTCATTCATTGCACTAGGATGCAGAAATCTGGGTTTGCATTTATAGAAGTATCTGCTTCAGTTAGTAGAAATTAAATCTGGAAAAATAGTGTATTGTTGGTTAGTGCTGTATTGTTCCAGTCTGTAACTCTGCAGGGAGGTTACTAGACTTCATTTATGGAGCTGGTGTAAAGCAGTGGTATAGCATTGCCCTGTGTTCCTTCTGGAGGTACAGCACACAGATTTTGAGGTGAGGCCTAGAGAAATCCAGACAGACTGTTATTGTCCCTTCTTTTTAGTTTTTATACCTAAACACTGGTGAATTTGTGTATGATGCAGAAAATTCTGGGGCTGGATTTGATGGCCTCAGAGGCGATGGATGTAAACAGACTTGAGATATTTTGTTCTGGAAGGTGAAAAGCTGCTTTAAATACACATCTTTTGGGTTTGGTTATTTATTTTGTGACTTGAATTTCAATTTAAATATTTTTTGCACAATGCTGTGTATGTTTTTTCTCTTCTAAATCTCCTGCTTAGCATTCTTTGAAGCTCCCTACTACCACCTGGGCAGAGAGTGGTTTCTCAGTAGCACGTGCCAAGCAGTAACCTGTAGCCTAGCAGCCACAGTGTGCAGTAGAGCCTGCAAATTAAAGAATGCACCTGTGCCCTGAAGGGGTGGATATTTAAATATCAGTTGAGTAAAATTTTTAAAAGTTTAGATGTTTGTGCTAGTTTGAAAGTAAACCAGTGGGAGAAATGAACCCCACACAAATATCTTAAGAGAGATTTCAGGTTAGAGTTACAAGGTCATTAGAAAGATTACAGTAAATGCAACAATACACAAAAACTGGCCTAAAGTCAGGCTACAGCCTGATACCCTGTTGGTCAGGGTGGTGGTCTCAGTCCTGTCAAACAGTGACAGCAGTCCAGCAAAATTATGAAGTTGAGAGCAAGGGTCCTCTGGGAGGTCTAGTCCTGTAGAAGTTCAGGTTCTCCTCTGGATCTGTCCAGAAATCCCCAAAGCACTCAGATTATTGATGGTCAGATAGCGCAGGATGCTCAATACCTCCCCCAGAGCAGGGAATTTCACAATGGAATGATGTAATCCTATGAGTCCTGGGATGTTCTGGGGAGTCCTTGATGGCCTAGGTCCTTACAGCTGCCCACTGGGGCATTAAGGCCGCTGGCAGAGATGACCCCTTAGGCTGTATGTGGTTATCACAGCTCAGTCAGTTTGTGAAGACAAAGAAAAACTACCCTGATGTACCTGGACTGTCGGGAGGGAGGTAGCAGTGGTGTGAGGGGTTTGCCTCTTTCCTTTGTCTGGGTAGCTCTTGCAAACGACCCGCCATTAACAGTTCATCAAGAATAATGTAGATGGGAGTAGCATGCATAGTTGGGTTACAACCCCACTTGAAACCTAGGACAGATGCTTCACTAGAGTTCTGGGCAGAATTGCCTGGAAAAAAACTGAGTGCGGCTCTGTAAAATATGGCATGATCCACAGGATGCAGGTGTAACTAGATCCAGGAGCTCTCTTCTTATTTTTAGCACAATCTGTTTCTCTTAATCTGTTTTCTTTGTTTTAGAACACCTTTTTCTGGCTCTAAGTTGTGAAAGGAGGTTTGTCTCTGCCTTTTTTGAAAACATCTCCCAATTGCATTACGACTATTTACCCAATTTGGAAAGCAAAACATTGTTGGTTCCATCCTTCAGAAACCTGTTCCTCTCTAACCTTTTACATTCTCCAATCCCAGAGCTCCCATCTCCTCCACACCTAGACCGCTCATTTAATGCAGTGAAGTATTCAAAGTCTGGTTGTTCTTTTCTGTCCGTCCTAGCTTGGGGAAGGGCAGGAGATAATAGCATCAATTAAAGTGGTGTTGAACACAGATGAAATGTTTAGCAAGTTGGCATCTTTGTAGGTCAATGAAGAGCAACATGTGAGATGCCTTGCTGTTGCTGTTAGGGTTTGGTTTAGCTCATACTGCGGTCCTCTACATTGACAACATTTCTGCTTTTGATTTATGCTCTGAGAAATCAAGGGTATATGATCTCTTGTCTCACTGCTTGGGAAAATAGTAACTTTTAACTGACATCACAGTTTCCAATCAAAATAGACTTAATATTCTTATGTGGGGTTTTCTTCCATGTTTCAGTGGTGTGTAGTCTACAATCACAATTTTCTCATTAAAATACTGATGGGGGAGAAAATGACAAAGCATGAGTAGTTTTTTCCCTGCTCTAGAACAGCATGGCTTTAAGAACAGTGACTGCATTTTAAATAGTGTAACTGTGCTAAAGAGATCCAGGTTCTATTCAGTCGTTGCCAGTATGATTGTCCTGCCTTGGAAAGATGTTGGATGCTCTTAAAGCTGGTGCAACTGATCTGCACTGCAGGTTTGTGTTAGTAGAGCTACCTTTGAAATGGACAAAGTGTTGGAGATACAAGAATCGGTAAAGCATAATATCGTGACTCCTGTATGGCATAAATGTCTCTGGGATTTTATAACTAAACGTGGATTATTGTTTGGGGGTGTCAGGAAAATTAATCCACAAACATCAGAGGCTTATGTCCAAAAAGTAGACAGAGGAGTCCTTTTACTTTATTTGAATAAAGAGAGAGGCCATGGGGCATTCACCTGGGGTCTGTCAAATTTTTGGAGGATGATTTTTTGACACTGGCCTTTTTATCCCAATTTCCCAGCTGCATTTCCCTTCTCTCTTTTCCCATTGGCTGAGGTACTTGGGGGGTACAGACTTCCCAGAACACCTGATACCAAAAATTTCCCTCTAATGTATAATCCTCCTTTTTAATTTTTAATCCTAGGGGTTTTCCCCATTGTTTCTTTCATCTTTCAATATCCAGTTTCATTTATCAGCAAACCTACAGATCTCAAGGCAAATATCTTTTTCCATTCGTCAATCAGTGGAATCCTTCCCATTGTTTCTTTTATCTCTCAGTGGTTTTATCTACCAGCAGACCTACAGTTTGTTTGTAAAGACAAATCTGTCATTCCTCTCAAGGGGAAATCTTTTGAATTCAGAAAAATTGATCTGTTTCGGTGAAAAAAGCTTGATTGCTCTGGTAGCTATCCTGATTACATGCACATGTGTCTCATGAATGATTTTCATTTCCAAAGGAGTATTTTTGTACCTTTCAGATTCTCTGCTTTGACTTTTTGTCATTCTTCAGAAACATACATGAAAAATGTGTGGGGAGGACTCACATTTTATTGTAGCCTGTTTCTGTAATGTATTTGTTTGTAAGGGTGAGGTGAGGATATTAATAGACCTTTTTGTCTTGAAATATGTAGATCCTGTGTTTCTTGATTGTCATAATGGTACTGAGCTCCTCTAGCCTTCATTTCTATTAATGTGCTCTTCTTGACTTTGAACAGTGTGAAGAGTGTCTGTGCTGGCAGCATGGAGTCTGTATGGGCTTGCTGGAAGATAATATACCTGAGAAATACACCTGCTATATTTGCCAAGATCCTCCAGGTACAGAAATTTAAGGTTACAGTCCCTTGTTTTATATGTAGTAAATCTACTAGTTTATCTATATCTAATCTATATCTATCTCTGAAAAACTACACTGTTTTTTTGCCCTGCCTGTGTCTGTCACTGTAGATAAGTTTCACTAAGTTTAATTTATGTGAATGTCCATGAGTCAATATTATGAAATTTAAAAAGGACAGGAACGGAAAAGTGTTTTCACTGTAATCACCATCTGTCACACACTTGCAGTAATAAGGATTGTGCTGTCTGACTACGGCAAATGAGTGTACAAAACACTCAGGAAACTCGAGCAAAAACTCCCCATGGGTACATCTTAGGGAATGTGGCTGCAGCTCTCCCCCAGCAAATTGGGCTGATGCTTTCTTTAAAATAAGTCAGCAGAAGGCTCCTGGCTCTCCTCAGCAGTGACTCTTGTTGTTGGCTGCATTACCTGCTGTCCTGGTGTGATGCTGACCCAACACCAGCCACCCATAGAAGCCGCTCGCTCACCCTCTCCTGCTTCAGCTGGGCAGAAGAGAGAAAAAATTAACAAAGAGTTAATGAGTTGAGACCAGGAGAAAACACTCCAAGGGCAAAACAGGCTTAACTTAGAGATACAAGGTGAGTTTATTACCAGCAAAATCAGAGGAGGATTATGAGAAATAAAATGAGCCTTTAAAAACACCTTTTCTTCCCCCAACCCCTCCCTCCTTCCCACCAACAGTGCAGGGAGACAGGGCATGGGGGTTTGGTCAGTTCATCACTCAAGGTTTTCTTCCACTGCTCAGGGAGAGAAGTTGTTCCCGTGTGACATCGTGGGGTCCCTCCCACAGGACACAGTTCTCTGTGAACTTCTCCAGCACGGCTTACCAATCTCACGAGCAGCAGTCTGCCCAAAACTGCTGCAATGTGAGCCCCTCCCACGGGCACACAGTCCTCCCAAAACTGCTGCAGTGTGGGTCACTCATCCACGGGGTGAGTCCTCCAAGAACAGGCTGCTCCAGCCTGGGAGCAGGGGCCCTCTTTCTCCCCACCAGGTCTCCCACTGGATCACAGCCTCCTCCAGGCATCCACCCACTCCAGCGTGAGCCTCTCCCCCGTGGGCTGTGGCTGGATCTCTGCATCCTCTGTGAATCCCCATGGCTGCAGGGGCACAGCTGCTTCACCATGGTCCCCACCACAGCCTGCAGAGGAGCCTTGGCTCTGGCACCTGGAGCACCTCCTCCCCCTCCTTCTCCACTGACCTTGGTGTCACCATGTTGTGTCCCTCACATGCTCTCACCTCTTCCTCTTTTCGGACTAAAAGAAAAAACTGTGCACCTTTGTTTTGATTTTCTTCCTAAATCTGTTATCACAGAGGCATTACCAGCCTCTCAACTTAGGCTAGCTTTGTCCAGCAGCATGTCCATCTTCAGAGCCGCCAGGGATTGCCTCTGCCAGACATGGTGGAAGCTTCCAGCAGATATTTTGAAATGTCTTAGTGTTGGAAAGTCCCAGATTTACAGAGACGGGGCAACTAAGAGGCAATTAAAAAGATTTTATTGTGTTATCAGTCTTGTAGGAGGGTGAGACATAAGAGATCTAAAACTCGGTGCCATTCCACCAGAAGCCAGCCTACTTCCTGGTTACAATACCTTATAAATGTTTTACAGCCTATTAGCTTTTGCCACACAATGCTGCTAATACCTCTAACACCAATCACCTGTTATTTTACCCCATATGATCTTCCTACAATGCATCTTTCGCAGTTCTAGTTCTCCAAAATACCTGGTCTTTTTACAAGCCATCATTTGAAACTTGTTTCCAGTTCAATCTCTCTCTCAACAATGTCATCTCAATTCCATGGCCTTTCTAAATCTGCACACCTTACCTCAGAGTTTGCATACAGATGTACAAGACTGTGTGAGCTTTCAATCAGGTTTTGAGAATCCTTTACAAATCCATTTCTCACATCTTAATCCATCTGACACAGCAGGTAAAGTTACATTTAAGCAAATATTTTCTGACTTTCTACTGTATTTATTACAAAGCCTTGCTGAAAGTTAAAAGGATGAGGTTTGGACTTGAGTCCATGGTTATACATGGGAAGAAAATGGATCTCTGTTCACCTGATTAAAATACTTTTTTGGTTTATATTCATATTTGGATTGTGATCCCAGTTTTTTTTTGGCTGTTGAAAGCTACCAACTCTTTTGTACTTTAACTCACAGATTTGTGTGTATGTTCACTGCTGTTGTTTGTACTCTCAGCAATGGAGACATGCTACACCTAAATTTTAAACTTTTACTACAGTAAAAGATACAGTATCTTGCTTCTAGAATTTTAGCCTTCTATTAAAGATATTTTGCTTTATGTCAGTTGAAGGTAGTTTTAAATGGGACTAAAATGCGCTTGCAAACTGAAGTTGTGTTGTCACACTTCAGTGAGTGCTTTTGTGCAGAAACTGATTACAGCTTCATTTGTTTAATTCATCGTTAACTATTAATTTCAAGATTCTGAAGTTTACATTTGAGGAGACTTAATTTTTACCTCTGTCTTGAAAAGGGAAAACATATCCAACTTTTTGACTGCAAAGATAGCTGTTCAGTGACTGGTTTTGGCTTGAAGTGAGCTAATAGGCTGTATGAATCTACAAAGTGGCTTTTAAAACTGAGCATGGCTATTCAGTAACTCTTACTTAGGAGCTTTCTCTAGTCGAAACTGCTGGGACTTGTAACAGCACCACTCATTCTATTAGAAGTGAAAAGCAAGTTTAGTGTAATTTTGTCTAAAAACTATTAACTACTGTTTTACTCAGGTTTTTTTGAGTTGGGTAGGATTTTTAAGAGATTTGTTAACATTTACCCTTGCTTAAAAACATGATCAAGATGATTATGTAGTACAATTGCTTGTGGGCATAGTCTGGTGTCTCCTCTTAAGGTTACATACTTCAAAAGGGAGCACTTTTTATCTCAGGGTGCACATCACCTCAGTTGTTCAGGTGACCATGAAGTTCTCAAAGTCACTGTTTTACTCTTGTGGACTGAACTGTACTTTCTGTCACAGATGTCAGCTTCTCCAATGCAGAAATTAATCAGGGAGGGCCAATGCAGTTGGCCAGGAGTATCTCCAGTGTGGTTCTGACCATACCAAAAATTCTGCTTGCCTTCCTGTTTATTACAGTGTATCTGCATGCAAGGTTGAGCTGAAACACCTTTCAAAATTCTTTTTTACCCTATCATGATTTCTGATGCCACCTAATACCCATGGATTTCTATGTAGTGCTAGCCTCAGTCTTACTCTGCTGTCTGGTAACTCCCTTTTTCTTTTTTTTAGCTTCTCCTCTAGTTGACGTTAAACTGCTTATATTGGAGACCATTTTGCAATTATGGTTCCCAGTCTGTGCTCCAGTTTTATCTCTGGTTTCGTGGGCTTGCTGCCTGGGCTGTAGATAGGCAGTGTTGTACATGTACATGTGTTGTTTCTTTGGGTGCTGGGCTGTCCACTGAGAATATCTGTAGTCAATGTACCTTTTACAGAGTGTGGGGGAGCTTTTATTAGGTATTTAACATGGAGGGTTTTTCTGTGTGTTTGCAATTTAGCAAGCATCTTTCCTTGTAATACCATTTGTTTGGCAATTTAAGTTAGTTCTGTTGAGACATTTATCACATTCAACACTGTTTCATTTCAGCTGTTGCTGATATTCAATATGAAGAGATAATATAGATATCTCTTAAGAGAGAATTATCAATAGCTTGACTTAGGCAGGTTTTCTGTTGGAACCTTATCTTTGATTCCTTCAAAATGTATTTTTGTACAACTGTACTAGTACATGTTGATGTTAAAAACAAGACCACTGGGAAGGTGATTGCCTTTTTCTACATTTTACTGTCTGCAGAGAGCTGCAGTCAGATTGTGACTTAATAACCATGGTTAGACTGGACAGTGTAATACCCTGCTGAAAATATGCCTTTCTCAGCCTCATCTGTAACTGCCTGTTGTGGATGTCCTTTGGTGGAAGTTGGGGTTTGAATGTTTTTACAGTTGGGCAAAGGTTTTTGGTTTCCTACTTTACAAGTTCTTCATTTCTTCATTCCTTATGTCTGCTGTTACAGGATCTTCTTTGGTTCTGTTGATAAGAACAAGTAAGTTGCAGTACCTAGAGATAATGAGAATTACTACCAGCAATGTCAACGTTTCATTTTAACTCACTCATTACTGTTACTTTAGGTCAGAGGTCCAGCTTAAAGTACTGGTATGAAAAGGAGTGGTTAAGTAATGGTCACATGCATGGCTTAGCATTTTTGGAAGAAAATTACTCCCACCAGAATGCCAAGAAGATAGTGGCCACTCACCAGCTGCTTGGTGATGTACAGCGAGTGATCGAAGTCCTGCATGGGCTGCAGCTGAAGATGAGCATATTACAGTAAGCAGTATTTAAGTACCAGCTGACATGTTCTCCTTGGTAATTAGACTGCAAGTATAAAAATAAGCAGAAATTCAGGCTTGCTTTTGTGCTGTGGGGATTTATAATATAGTTTGAATTGCTGATGTGATATTGGGAAAGGACTTGGCTGTTTGAAAACTGTTTAAATGGGATGAGTGTAAATGGACAATGTGTATAGAAAGGGTTAAACTAACAAAACTAATGACAGTTTTTCTTGAATCACCCAAATGGATTTTAAGTAAGAAGTAAGAGTAAGGATAGACTTTCAACCCATGGCACCATTTTTACAGCACTTGCTTTCACCATTCCAGGAAATCTGGTCATAGCTTGTCCAAGAGGAATCAGATCTTTTTGTTTGGTAAGGTATCTTGCTTTGGTGCAGTGGGAGAGTGGTTGCACTCTCAGCAACTTGCAGTAATTAATTTCTGAGAGGTCATTTCAGCTATATCTACAGAAAATAATAATTATTTACATCAAAGATTTTTTTTCTATTAAGTCAACTTTTTTGTGTATTTTCCTATTTAAAGTCATCCTTGGGTTCTGGTGACCAAAAAAAAAAATTTACTCAAATACGACAGTTTTAAATTTATTGAATTCCATAATTGTAATTTATTCGTTGATAAATTGCACGGTAGTAGCTATTTGGAAAACAAAGTGATTTTGGCATTTCTTTAGACACGCCCCCCCCCCCTCCAAATCTGTGGTGGTGCAGGAGGTCCACTGACATGGAATAATGCTTAAAGAAAGAGAGGAGCCATTTTAACATAGGGTTTTGCTTTTCCATTATGGGATCCTTTTATTTAGATCTCTAAGTAATCTCTTTCCTTTTTGGAGACTGAAACAAATATTTAAGGCCACTCCTTGGGCCTGTTTTTTAAATGGTGACATTTGAGTTTCACGCTTTCCAGTCGTGAACTGAGATTTCTGTAGCTCTGAGGTAAGGAGCACTGGGCGTATTTGTGATGGTTGCTGCAGGTTTTGTTCCTTTTCTCTCCCATGCTGAAGTCAATATGATGGCCTGGCTTCATTAAAGGTGAGGTGCAGTCCTGTTTGGATCATCTGGTTAAAAGCTTCAGCTGCTGGGTTTTTTTTATCATGATATAAATTAGAAGAGATATGAAAAATTGCTGAATTATAATAATTATTATATTGTTGATGCAGCTCAACAGATAGAAGATTTCACAGGTGCCTGAAATTATTAGGAATTGCTCAGTGTTTCAGGGAGGTTGCTCAGTGTTTCAAGGAGCTGGCAAAGGACCCGAGGTGACCCTGGCAGTGCCATGGGAGTGTGAACCTTCAGCAGGCAGGAGTTAAAACGTTATTCAAGTATTAGCATTTGACTTTTCATCCTTAGGTAACTGGTGCATCATTTTTTTCAGAAAAATTTTCTGTCTTTTGTAAAATTATCCCTTGCTTTGTTCTGAGCAAAGTACAGTTTCTTTAGGTGCAGATGAGTGGAGCTTGAGCAGAAAGCTTTCACTTTTCCAGGCATGCCTTCAGGATGGTTCACCAGGGAACTCTATCCTTGCTGTGCCAGCGCTAGAGGCAAAGGTGCTGCTATGAAATAGTCTGAGCTGCTGTACTCACTTTGGTTTCCTCTGAGAGACACTGAAGAAACCTGAGCTCCTGCAGGATGGGTTAGAAAGCAGTTACTGCCAAAGTCAGGTGGTCATGTTTTGTTGAGTGGTTTGGTGAACAGCTAGAAAAGCTGGATCAGCTGAATAGAATCAGTCCATCCACCTTTGCAAGGAAACAGAGAGGGGGGCTTGAGGGCAGCCCCCTTCCTGTGCAGCCCAATGCAGCAAGTGCTTTAGAGCCAGGGTTTGCTCTGCTGTGTTCCTACAGCCTGTAACAGATGAGCTGCCAGCCCTTTGAAGATATGTATAGCAGAGTATTATGCTTTGGTCTCCTTTTACTGCTGTTTTGATGCTTTACACAAGGAAGAACATGGGTTACAATGCTCACTCTAAATCTTTCATTTGTTATATCTGTAATAATCTGATACCTATCGTTGTCCCTTCTGCTGGAATGAATAATGTATTAGTCAATTTGAAGACAACTAAAATAAGAATTTTTCTAAGAGCAGATGAAGGGAAATCTGGCCACTATGGAATACCACTGCAGTGTACAATGTTTGTGTACCATACCTTTACTAAAAATATCCCTGTTAAAATTAATTTTTGCTGCTAATAAATTGCAAATATTGAAGCAAAATGTTCCATGAAGGGCCAACGTTGGTGAGAAGTTGTATGTGTCTATTTGCAACTTGTTCTTCAAGTTTTTTCTTAATCCAAACACTTGGCTTTTTCCTTTTTTTCTTAATTATTCTTACTTAATTTCTTTATGCAAGAGGATAGCTTGTTTAGTCATTTTGGCATTTAAATTGAGTGGTTTACTTTTTTATGTTTGAACAGAAATAAAGAACACCCTGACTTAAAGCTTTGGTGTCATCCATGGAAGCACATCACGATGGATGAAAAAATCCATACAAAACACATCATCCACTTCGAGGAAAACTGTTGCAAAGAGGAGACAGCAAGTTATAGAACTTGGAATGGGACAGTTGAGAAACCCTCAACAATTCCTTCTGTGGAGGAATCTTACATTACGAGTGAACACTGTTACCAGAAGCCTCGGGCCTACTACCCTGCCATAGAGCAGAGGCTGGTTGTGGAAACAAGAGGATCAGCAATGGATGATGGAGTAAACAGAATAAGAGAAAATGGGGATGATGCCTTCTCAGAGAGGTTTGGCTGGAATCTGGACCAAGAAATATGCAAGATGGAAAATGAATCTAAACACAATTACTCTAAGGTATTTTTATGAAAATAGCTATCTCTGGCAAAGAGCATGTGTCTTTCTGGCAACCTGCAAATTCAGCCTTTTTTAGTACTTTTTGGTCTGTGGTGTTTTTGTTTTGTTTTGTTTTGGGGTTTGTTTTTTTTTTTTTTTTTTTTTTTTGTTGGTGTTTTTTTGGTTTTGGTTTTTTTTTTGCTTGTTTTTGGTTTTTTTTTGTTAAACTGTTACATTTCAGTTGCCAGTAACAACTAAAATGATACCATGTGATCAACTCCTTCATTTTATAATTTAAAAATCTAGTTTGACTTCTGGACCTCCAGTTGTTTGAAGAGTGTGGACCATACCTTATGGTTCACTGGTAGCTCATTGCTGCTTACTTTTGTGTGCTTTTAAATGAAACATAAACACTAGCAGAGAGAGAGCAGGCCAAGTGTGTATGGTACTACCAAATACACTGGTAGGCCAGCTTCTAATTATGTCCCTCTTCTTTCCACATTCTTTCTAATAACTAAATTAATTTTAGTTCTTCAGGCAGCATTTCCAGATTTAAAAAAGAAGGTGTCTGCCTGAAGTGATTTTTTTTAAGACTGATCAGCATGGAATAGTCCTTTATCTTCTTCATACGTGGAGCACTTCAGGTTTCGCTTTTCAGAGCTTGGTTCTCATTGTCAGCTCGTGTCAACCTAGTAGAGGCCTTTCTACTCTCCAGTGCAAAAATTTTGCTTCTGTTAGTACCAGTTGCTGTGAAATGTGGGGTGAGAAATATTGCAAACCCTCTGGGGAATGACTGAAGCCCTTTGCTCTGAAGCAGGCTAGGGGAGCTGTGGCTGTTCACCTAGAGAAGGATCCAGGGAGACCTGAGAGCCCCTTCCAGGGCCTAAAGGGATCCTGGAGAGCTGGACTTGGGACAAGGGATGGAGGGACAGGACCAGAGGGAATGGCCTTAACATGAAGGACTCTAGATTTTAGAGGGATATTAGGAAGAAATTGTTCCCTGGGAGGGTCCTGGCACAGGTTGCCCAGAGCAGCTGTGGCTGCCCCTGGATCCCTGGAAGTGTCCAAGGCCAGGGTGAATGGGGCTTGGGGTAGTGGCAGGTGTTGGAACTAGATGACCTTTAAAGGCCTCTTCCAACCCAAACTATTGTACAATTTTATGATTCCATTAAATACTGAGTTCCCCTTTTTTATATTAAAGGTTAGGATAGCTCTTATTTCATCCATATGTAAGTTGTAATTTGCTGCTTCTAACTTCTATAAGTCTATTGAGCTTGTGTTACATTTTCTAGAAAGGGAAATATTTTAGTTCTCCAATCTTAAAGAGCTTTTTTCAAAAGGGTCATATTTCAGCAGAAGGATGAGAAAAGTAGGGGAGGAGAATGAGCACTGCTGATGTAGTCAGGTTTTATAAGGAATGGTAATGCTTGTTTGGAGATGGGTCAGCGAAAGTTTTAGTAGAATTTAGATTAGATTTCTTAAGGAAAAATCCCTTTTCACTCCTGAATTGTTTGGTCTTTAGTTGATTGTTGTCAGGTGAAAAACAGCTTCAGCATTCCCTGAGATGAACAGATTTAGTGCAGGATCGTCCAGATGAAAAGTGGCAAGGAGATAACTACATGTGTATGTTACATTCAGAAAACCAGATACTTGTGAAGTACAAATATTTTTTAGCAAAATGCCCATTAAAATATGTTTATATTTAGATCTTCTTGCCCAAATCAGGTTAGTGTGTGTATCTGGTCTGTCTCTCTCCCACTCACTGGCCTGTGATGAGTTCAGCTGTTACGGGGGACTGGGAGGACTCAGGCAGTTTGGCTCCCCAACTCTCTTTCACTGTAACAAATATTTAATGTGTGCATTTCTGCTAGGTGAGAGAGTCTGTCTCTAAGAAGGTCTCTCCAGAGGAAGCTATTGAAATGAAATTGCTGGAAAAAGACAAAGAAGGAGTAGTGAACTCACAGCTGCAGTGGCAGCTCAATCTTTTAGCTCACGTGGAGTCTCTGCAAGATGAAGTCATACACAGAATGGATTTCATTGAGAAGGAGCTAGATGGTAAGTAGTGTTATTCTAGTTTAAAAAAAACTTTTTTTTTAACTGAGCTACCTGTTCAAAACATGTTAATCAGAATTTTACTTCTTCAGACTTACAAAGAGATCAATGTTTCATTATCACATTTTCTAAATAGAAAATAGACATGCTGCTGATGTGGGGGGTGGATTTTAAAACAAAGAGCAGAATTTCACAGAAGAAGTTCTAGCTAGGTCATCTCTAAATAGTTGCATCAGATGTTGTACTAGAACATGTTTGTGTGTTTTTGGGTTTAGGTTTTTGTCATTTTCCAAAACTCTGTGTGTCTGCATTTCTGTTTTTCAGGGCCTTGCTGGCTATGTTAGTCTGTTCTGAGTGGCCTCTTCAGTGCACAAGGCTCTCATTCTTTCCTGTCTCTTCCAAATTCTTCACTTAAATGTCTTTTAAGATTTTCGTAGTAATGGAAATCTTATAAATCCTTTGCGTTGCATTAAATGACTCAGGATAGTTCTTCTTTACATTGTTAAGTCTGACCATTGGTTGTGTAGTGGTTACAACAGCAGCTTTACTTGCAGGGGAATCCAACTTCTGCCCAAGTAAGAGCCCTCTCTTTGGAAGTAAGGTACTGAAAAGTTGGACAGCTATAGGGCTATTTCAGGTAAAGAAGATCAGTCAGGGCTGTACTGCCCAAAGAAGCTCTGGTTCCAAAAAGTTACAGTTTTTGTACCTGCTGCTGAGCAGGGGTCTGTGCAGTGTGTTGCTGCTTTGAGCAGGAACTTTCTTACTCCAAGATGGGATGTGTTAGCAACGAGTGATGCTGCTGGTTCTGCAGCAGGTGCTGCCCATGGGTAAAATTTACCTGTTGATCTGGTTGGTGGCAGTGGCTGCTCTTGGTAGAGGTATTTATTCTGTCTCCAAGGTTTCAGTCTCCATCTGCAATACTGTCAACATCCCCAGAACTCATCATAGTCCAACCTGACCACCTTCCTTGTGAGCATGTTACATTGTCACTTGACTTGTCCTCTGCTCGTTGGGATTTCTTGTTTCCCACAAAGAAGCTTTTTAAAGCAGGAGTTTATTTTCCTTGTGGAGCACTCTACTGGTTTGTGCTTTTGATCTTCATCCCCATTTTGTGTTACCCAGTTCTATCTTGGTCTGTTGTGTTCCGTGTTGATGACAGATTTCTTTCACTGTGATAGTCCCATTTTTGATGGTGTAAACGCCCTGTACAGCAGTGTCTTTGCCCTGAAATTGACACAGATCAGAAGAAGTTTAGCATGAGGTTTCACGATGTCTGGTCCAGAGTTTTCCTTTCCTGCTTTTTCCTAGGAGCAGCAGCTTCTTCCTCCATCCCCATGTGGATTATTTGGTTACGTATCAAAAGTTACTTTCAAAGATTGGTGTGAAGGGGTTCAGTTCTATGATTTCTCAAATAACTGTTAAAAATATTGCCCACTGCCTTCTCAAGATTTACAAAATATTTAAAGAATTCTTGTTTTGTGATTTCAGATGAGCTGTTTGCTGAGAGCTGCAGTAGTGACAGATGTTGTTTTCTTTGCAGTTCTGGAGAGTTGGCTGGATTACACAGGAGAGCTGCAACCCCCAGAACCACTGGCTCGACTCCCCCAGCTCAAGCATTGCATAAAGCAGCTGATAACAGACTTGGGCAAAGTGCAGCAGATCGCGCTGTGCTGCTCCACGTGAGGCTGGAGGGCTCTGGGCTGTGGCTGCCTGCAGAGCTGCAGTGGGATGGGAGCACCTCTGAAGCTGTAAATTAAACTGGCATGCTGGTTGCATGGGATGCAGATGGACTTCAGGGACTTGTGCAGAAGCGTTGTTCAAAGAAGAGCAAAGAGGTTATTTCAGGTCTATTAGACAATTCTAATACTGTGGAAAAGGTCATACTCTTGTCTCCAGAGGTTGCCTGTTGCTTGTTAAGTTACACTAAAATTTTCACTCCCTACAAGTTGCTCATCAAAACGGTATACTTTTTCATCATTAAATTGACTAAAAATTGTGCCACTGAAGAACAGAGTTCTAAGAGCCAAAAAATTTTGGTTGACAGGGGTTGTAAATAACTTTGTGTAGTTTAAGTGACTCACGTCATGTTTTATTTCTTCTGGTTTATGCATACTAGCACTCAGTATTTAATCATTAGGAGATGTTATAACAGTTTCAGACTTAGTAAGTATGAATGTCCAGCTCTTGACTATAAGTGTTATGTGGAGGTTTTCAAGTAACAGTGGCCTGACCCACAGTTCTGTTACAGTAAATAATGTAGCAGGAAGTCACAGGTGGATTGCACTTACTTTCAGAATAAATGATTGTTTTCCATATTTATCCTCTCACTGTCACATGACTTGGTACTGGGGAAGCCCATGAAGGTGGTGTTTGTGTGTGTGTATTCTTGAGCTCTTGACTCCAGCCATCCTGTGCCTCCTGCAGCAGTTGCTGGGGGGATCCCTCGTTGCAGTAGTATGGAATTCCTCCAGGAAAGGACTGGAGCCATGCTCTGAGTTCAGACTGCAACATGGTCTGTCATGGATGTGATATATTTTCTACCCATTTGTTAATAATTGCCATTCCGGTTATGTTTGGAAATCTAGATTTTTTTCAATACTCTGGATGTGTTCATTGTAAAGACTTGCTATGAATGTGTGGTTTTGGGAATCAGTTTTTGTGTAAATAAAGCCTCAAGATCTATGCATGAGGTGCTGTCCTTGCAGACAGTGAGTGGGTTATTATCTTAAATGTTCTGTGTTCACTAAGTCCCTTTTTATACCTTAAGTTTTAATTTTTAGTTTGTATTTACTTTGTGATGTAGGTGACAAGGCTGCTGATGTTCAGTCAGGTTTTACAGAACCTTTGGAACGTTGTGAGCATTTGAGAGGTTCAGAGTCTTTCAGCTGCAGATCACCACTCCTGAAATAATGGCTGTAACTTCAGTTTTCCTTCATAGACATTGCTGAGTTCAGTTCCTTATGGAACACAGTGAGCTGGTTTTGCAGTGAGAGGGTGTCCTTAAAAAGCTGGATTTGTTACCTTTATTTTATTGTGTTCAGTGGTACTACCAAAGGGTAACATTCAGAGTTGTAACAGAAAGGTCCATACCTGTACAAATTACAAATTTGGAATATATATCTGTAATGTTTTTAATCTGCAAAGAATAATGAAAACTTGAAATATCCAGTATTATTGTAGGATAGGAGTTACAGTCTCCACATGGTGAATATTTTATTTTCTTCAGAAAACAAAATAATTAGGCTCCTCTAGATAGTAAAACTAAGACTTTTATGCCAAGATTCAGTTCAGGCAATAATTTGTCTGACAGTTTTATAGTACTGACTTGGTATATAGTGAATACAACGTACATACAGCAAAAAAAACAAACTTTCTTTTCTGTAACACAATTGGAATAAAGCTTACATTGTATTTTAAGGATCACTTGGCTCACTGAAGATGAGACCAATGCTTATACCTTGGCTCATTCCTGTCAGGTACCTGAGCTCATTAGCTCAGAACAGCATCAGAGGAGCCTCCCCTCGCAGGCAGCTGGTGATTTTTGGGTGAAATAGCCCAGAAAAGGTGTTCCCTGGTTATATCTGTAAAGCAGGACATGCTGAGTGGGAACAGCTTAGTTGTGCTGGCAACCATTCAGTCTGAGACCATTCAAGCACTCAGTCCCTGAGCTGGCTTCTTGCTCCAAAGGGGGATTTCTTCTCAAGCAATGGCTTCTGTGTGCTCATTGTGTATTTTCACTTGTCAGTTTATTTTTGCTCAGGGCAGTATTGGAGGTTTGGAAGAAAAGGCATTTCCCATGGGTAGATAAAGTTGCAGACCCTGGAGACTTGCATCCCTTCAGTAGTGCTGGGGAAGCCCTTGCAGATAAAGACTGAAAATATTTATTTAAAATAGAGTAGTACTTCTCGTATTCAGGGAAGATTCTTCATTGTGCTCTGCCTGGATTCATTTCTGTCCCTTTTTTTGCAAGTTTCCTCATTGTTATTTTTAGTCTGGACCAACTGTTCAGACTGGCAGGTCACTTTTTTGTTTCTTTAAATCACTGGTAAGTGAATGCAACGTGGAGCCTTGATGAACTGAGCAAACATTGCACTGTGGGTACACACGTGTTTGTTGATGCACTATTAGAACCAAGGGGCTGTACATAGAATTTTGTTTTGGAGCAATATTTGCAAAACTTGAAAACTTCTGTATCTTGGTGTTTGGAATAAATAAAAAATAGGTTTTTGTTGTTTAAATTCTTAGTAAAGTCTTTGTTTCAATTAGTGATAACTCAATAAAATAATTTTGGAATTTTTTCCTTCACACTGCTTTGACATGCAAGTACTGTAGTTTGTCAGGTATATATATCTCTCTTAACTGTTGCTAAAGTCTGAAAAGTACTATTTTCCAGATCTATGTTATATAAACACCCTTAAAATAGTGTGTTGGATATTGTTTAATGAGGAGCTCATACATTTTGTTCCTAGATCCTAATACATACAGTATATTAGTACCAATATATGTAATATATTAGTACCTAGTATGTGTGATCTGACCCTAATTTTTGTTCTGTTGGATGAGCAGCCTGTCAGGGACAGCCAGTGCAGCTGACAGAGGAAGCACAGCATTAGGATGGTGTGAAGCAGGGAGCTCTGGATGCTGTTGAACAATCCATATAGAGAAAATGCAGGGGAAGAGGACGAAGCTGGGGAGGGCTGGAGGAGCAGTGTGCTTGGCCCAGGGTGCCTGAAGGCAGAGACAGGCATTGATGTACCTTCAGGTTCCATCTCTTCCCTCTCAATTTCCCCAGTGGGAGGAAAGCAGATGTATTCCCTTGTCCCTTGTTTTGCTTTCTAACTTCATTCTCAAAAAAAAAACCGCAAAAAAGTTAAAAGTATTCTTGTGAAACTGGATTTCAAGGCTGGAGGTGCATCAGTGCTGGAGCCTGGAGAGGTTTGAGCCACTGATGGAAGATCTCAGTGTGTAGTGTGTCTCACTGCACGGTGTCATCATGCAGGTATTTGATGATCATTTAAATGTCAAAATCAGGTTTTGAAGTTGTGGTCTGGATTTGAAATTATTCAATGGGATGTGTGCTGTGGTTTGTCATGTTTTGATGTGCCCTCTGATTTATTTACTTGCCTGATGGGAAGGCTTCTGTAGATGCAAACTCCGAGAAGGAGGCAGCTCTCAGTCAGCTCTACCTGTGGGTAGAGTCACCATGTTCTCGCTGTTATTTGAGCAAAGCATCATCTGTAATTGCAGGATCTGCTGTTGACATTGTCCTGCCCATGGCTCGTGTTCATGCCCATCCTCATGGCCAGTGCTCCACTCATGCTGCTGCCTGTCCATCCCACTGTGGAGTGCTCCTGGCTGTCCTTGTGCTGATTTCCCAGGGGGTTCTGGTGCACTGCTGGCCATGGCAGGTGTTCAGCAGTGTTTCACAGCTTTGTGCTAATCCTTCTGGTTGCACAGCAGTTCTTGTGAAGGGAAAAAACTGTGTACAGCTCTTGTCTGGGTAATACCTGCGAGTAACCCACAGCAAGGTTCTGTTGAAACAGTTCAACAGTAAGTACCACTTATTTTTTCCTTTTACAACATAGAAGCAGACAGAAAAAACTGAGAACAAACTAGCAAAACTGGGATTCATCCTGTCCTGCTGAGGAGTTTTGCTGCTGGTGGTGCTTGTGTGCTGTTGGGGTGAAAGGAAGAGGTGAAAGGGGCCATGGGGCGTTGCAATGCTCCACACCCATTTCTGAGGGGCTGCATGGGCTGGCAGTGAAGCTGTGTGAACCTTCAGTGCTTCCACACCGGTGACTTGGTAAGTCATGGAGCTTTATACAGGCATGGCAGAGGACACCAGGGAAGGACCAGCTCCTGAACAGGTGGTTTCTGCCCTTGGGGTGAGGGTTGGGGGGGTGCTGCTCTGTGTCTGGGCTCCAGGCACAGCCATGTCCTTTGTACAGAGGCTCTGAGCTGATGAAGACACTTTGCCTGCTTTGCAGCTCCTCGAAATCCCTTTGACCCCAGCAAATGCTGCTGCAGGGAAAGATGCTAAGCTCCAACTATCAAGACTCATCAAAGGCCAACTGGGTGGTGAGATTCCCTCCCTCCCTCCCTCCCTCCCTCCTTTTTTCTCTTTTCCCTTATAAGTGTCCTTGGGTGATATTTTTGTGGTTTTATTTTGTTGGAAATCATGTAACTTTTACAATTTTCAAAGTAACTTTAGTCATGTGTTTGTTTGCCTTTGCCAAAGGGGAGGGGGGTGGAATTGAGGTTTCTCTTCAAAAGACTACTCATTGAGGGTTTGAATTTTGCTCAGTGAGGCCTGATAGGCTTCAATCAGCAAAAATCCACATCTACAGGTTGGGAGTAGCAAGAAGATACAGAGAAGATAAACAGACATTAACAAATATGCCCTCATTAGGTTGGAGTCATCTGATGTGGAAAAAGATTGATATGAGAACCAAAGAATGAGGACTAAATTAGCATCAAAGGTAAAGGGATCCAATAGGAGATAGAGTACTGAGAATTGTACAATGTAGAACCCAATGAATGAGAATTTATTTGGGTTTTAAATGAATAAATATGTGAGAAGTCTAGCAAAGAACTAGGTGAGCTGGAATGATTTCTACTGCACATCCTGTCTGGAATAAAGTAATGTCTGCTTATCTCAAACTTGAAAGATGGTACTCAGGAGTTTCTTTTATTCCTGCAGTTTCAGTGACAATTTTGCAATGCTTTCATGTTGTTATATTACTATAGATAATAAATAATAAAATGGCTACATACCTGCTTTCCTTTGCAGCCACATTGTTCAAAAATCAACCCTGTGTACGTGTATTTATACACATTGAGCATTTCAGTATCATTTCACTGTAATCCACTCCAAGGGATCTTTTAGCAAGAATCTGGGTTACTCCCATCTCCTGGGAGAAGTTTGTGACACTTGTCCCTGCAGAGGAAGTGGTTTTGTGGCTCCTGGGGAGCTCTGTGCTGCCCACGGTGTGGCTGATCTGGCCCAAGTGGCCGCGAGTCACAGTAAGGTACCCTGAGCCCTGGGGAGCAGATGGGAAGCCCCTCTCCCCTGTGAGGATCCTGGTAATTGGAACACCACTGGAGAAGATCTGCTGTGTCTTCACAGCTGCCCTGGCTGGGGTGGCTGGTGGCTCCTCCCCTGTCCTGGCACTTGTGGTCTTGCTGGGGTTTGTTCTGTCACTTCGGAGCCGTCAGCGTCCCTGTCCTGCGCTGGGAGAGGAGCCCCATGTCAGCGTTCTTGCTCTGCTCTCCTCAGGCTGCCGCAGCGCTGCTGCTCCTGGGAGCTGTTGGACCCACTCTGAGCTTCAGCTGTCTGGTAAAATCTGCTTCGTGCCCGTGGTGTTCAGAGGCTGCAGCATTCAGCCACAGGAGGCAGGGAAGAGGCTGGCAGTGCCCTGGAAGACATTTCCCAGCGTGAGTGGCGCGTGCCCGGGACAAGGAGATTTTCCGGACAGGGAAGTTGGAGGGCTCAGAGGCTGCTGGCAGTGGGGAAGGATTTAAAAAACCTTTACAACCCCATCTGTCCCATTTTATCTGGCTCCAGGTTACAAGTGGCAGAGCAGCAGACTTTTGACTGTGGTCTTCTGTGTAAATGTATCCAACAACCTGGGTGCAGATTGGTGATGGAGGGAGGAACCCAAGAGCGTGTTGGTTCATACAGC